CTGTAATGCCGCATTTGAACGTCGGTAATGTCCAAACGCGCAAATGAAGCTGGTATCCTCTACAGCAAGCGAGGAAATGGCGCAAAGTATGAGACAGGAGGCACAGCCTTCGACGGTTTCCTGTTTCCCTCCTTCTGCTCGATACCATTTAAAGATGCGAATGGATCCCGAGACGACAACGAAAGAGTCTTGGCTTGACACCAAACCAGCAAGAGCATCGCGAGATCCGATGAAGCCAACATCGACGGCGTTGCAAGTCTTGGCATATTCAGAAGCTACATAATACCCTCGGCCATCATGCGTGTGAAGTTTTTGCGTCGGCGGGCGCGAAAGGGAGGACAGCAGCAGCCAGAGGTGGCAGCTCTGGTCTCGCCGCCATCACAATCGTCGCCACCGTCGCCGCCATCACCAACTCCGCCGGCAACTGCCAAGTCATCCGTCGCGGCATCGACGGTGTCGGACGACGGTCACTCACTCAAGCGGCGGACTAGTGCTCTCAGCTCGATCACGAATCTCCGCCTCCGCAGATCGCTTGGTAGAATGAGACGGCCACGGTCACCACCGCCACCTTACGCGCTCACGGACACGTCTGTGCCTGAGCCGGACGACGCTGTTTCTGTGGTGACAGTAGCCACTGCTGCGGCGGAACAGCCGTCCGACGATGTTGAGGCAATCACGGTGGTGAAAGAGGCGAGCAGCCCGACTTGCGACACCAAGACGGTTGCTACTGTCGACGTGAAGACCATGATGGATGTCAAGACGGACTCCAAGGTGGATTCCAAGGTGGATTCCAAGGCCGATGCCGAAGAGGCCGCCGAGGAGCTTCTGCTGGACGTTGCAACCGCACCCTTCCACGACCTTCCGCTGCCATCCTCGAGAGAGGTCAGCAAATTCCGCCGCCTGGCTCAACCCGTCGTTGTTCCGCGTCTGCATCATGGCAACACCGTGCCATTTGCGCGCGGCTACGCACCGTGCCTCGGCGACACCCATGGTATCGACACCGCCACGTTCCTGGCCTTTATCGACGGTCTCAACCTGGTCACGTCGCCCCACCCGGCCGTCATGATCTTGTCGATTGTCTCGTTCGCCATGGAGTTTGTGCCGCTTGACTACGCCAACGGCATCGGTGCCGTCGCGCAGCTGCTGGCTGAAGTGACCGCCGCCATTGTGGCCTACAAGCGCGCCAAGATATTCCTGGCGCGTGCCAACGCCATGCTGTTTGAGCCGCGCGGCCTGCACGTCTCCATTGCCAATACGAAGCGCATGCGCGCCATTCTCGGCATCGCGCCCAAGGCGCCGCTGTTGGCGCCGCTCAGCGAGGAGACCGTCGAGCTGGCTATGCTGGAGCGGTGCATGCGCCACTTCAATGACTCCGGCTGGGCGGCGGCGCTCGAACTGGAGACGCGCACAGGCTGTCTTATGCCCATGGCGAAGCCGTCGTACCGTGAAGCGGCGGCTGACGTGGCGGCGCGCTGGCATCCGGACTACGTGGCGGACAGAAACGAGAAGAAGAAAAGCGGCGAGGGCGACGATGACGGTTCGGAGGTGGATGGCACGGATGATGGTCGCCCGCCGGCGCTACGCCGGGCGCCTTCGACGTGGGAAACCGTGGGTCGTGCCGTCAACCATGGGCTGGCCATTGTGGCTGACAAACACGTGCGCTTTGATATCAAGATGGCCGAGAAGGAGGCGCGCCGGGCACGGCGGCGGGCCTGGAAGCGCTATGCCAAAGGCAAAAAGCTCAAGGAGCCCTTTGGCGAAAAGTTCCGTGTGCGCCAGTTGTCGTGGATCCTGGTGCGCAACCTGGATGACGTGAGGCAGGAAGAGGCTGAAAAGGCAGCTGCGCAGGCGGCCAAAAAGGCAGCCAAGACTGCTGGCCGCACAACTAAGCAACCACGGGCTAAGGTGGTGACATAATTTTTTTTTTTTTGTCCGCCTTTGATTTTACGCTTATTACCCATATTTATTGTTTTATTTTGTTATAGCCCTCCTTTTATTTCCTTCCTTTTTTATGCTTGTTTGAATTTGCAAGTGCCGTTATTGACCGTTTACTTTGTGGGAATCGTTTGGTTCTAATTACAACATGCAAAGGGCACTGGGGCACAAGCAGGACACATATTGCTGGATTAGTCTACATGATACACACAAACAGGGAAAGATTACCTTGTCTGGGCTAAGATGAATACACAAAATCACATTCACGTGAATCAACGACGGTTACGGTTTACTCTATGTCGCAAACCGAGTACTTTTGTCTTTGTCTGCTGTCGCGCGGGTCCCTGGGACCGCTTTATCCGAGAACACTCATCTCGGCCAACGCCGGGCATGTCATAAGCTGCACCTGGACGACGATGTCTGGGTCTGGTGTCTGGTCCTGGGTTTGGGTCCGTGGCGGTTGGGATCACGTCCGTACAAACCGAGATCGTGGGTCTGCCAAACGGCAAAATACCTCCCAATAAGAAGACGAAGAAGGGCATGACTCTCTTTAATTCGTACTGATCTGAGATACCGAGAACGGAGAACGGAAGACGGATACAAGGCACATGGCTTCATCATCGAGTCATGGCTGCTCATGGCATTTCTGCAACACCAAGGCATCATTGCCTTGCCATGTCGACATCCAAGCCGCCATTTATCCGCTGCACCGGTCGTCTACGTCCGTCAAGTGGGAGCTACATAACTGTGTCTATTTCTGTGTCTCGGTCTGGGTCTGCGTCGCCTGCTTGTTTTCGCGTCTATGCAGATCCGTCCGAGACGTCGTTTGTCCAAGTTGATTCTACCCGCATGGCATGTCTCTCGTTTCCACGTGATGGCCGGTAATTTTGTGCGTTACCGCAAGTGGTCTGCGACAGTGCCAACACCCAAGACATCCGAGACATCAAAACAGGCTCTTTAGGTGAAACGCGGCACGGCGAGGAAAGACAGCGAGTTGCGTGCCGAGAAAGGAGAACGCAAATAGTCCAAAATGATCAAATAGTCAAATAAAGAGAGACAAACTATGCCCCTTTTCTGCGGAACTGGGCCAGAGCAGAAAACAAACATCGAAACAACACAGAAACTGCAAACAAAAAAGAGAGAAGAATAAAAGAGAAAATGAGAGAGAAACAACAGAGCGAACTCTTCGAATCGCTTTCGACGCCGCCGACTCACCTTGTGTCTGGTTGTGCATTTCCGGTCCCGACCTGCCGCCGTGAATCCGCATCCGCACATGCATTTAAGGATCGTTCCGTCCGAGCTGCCCATCGATGTGCCTCTGAGACGATGCGCCGTTCTCGCCCACTCTTTACTCCGTAGTGGCATATCCCCTTCCCCCAATTTTCAAGGTTCAATGCTTTGCCTCTGATCTATGCGCACTGCCTCCATGACCCCCAAGGCTCAGGTCGCGTTCTCTGCTCACCTGTTCCGTCGTTCTCGTGGCAGCCGTCGTCCTCCTCACTGTCGTCGTCTTTGTTTCTGGCCTTTTGGTTCCTGTCTCCTAGTTGTTCTCATTTCTTGCTCCTGTTTCTTTCTTTTTCTCGTTTCCCGTGACCCCTCCCTGCTTCACCCCCCGGCAAATATACTACTCACACGTTTGTCCGTCCGAGTACTCCGAATGTCAGCATATTTCGTATGTTGTTGAGGGCCCAGGCCTGACCCTCGTCGTCCCTAGTTGTGCGTATTCTGGTTTGAGTCTTCGGTCATCGACCCGTTTTTTCGGGTGCAAGTAATCTCTAGCCCTCGTAGACCTCGCTCACGCCCGACGCCGTCCTTCATTTCGCTGCCTCTCCCCACTTTCTCTTGTTCGCTGTCCTCCGGACGTTTCTCCTTTTTGGTCTACTCTCACAAGTTTATCGTTTGCTGTCGTACTGTGTAGTTTTCGTTCGCTCTCGTTCGGACGCTCTTCCGCGCACAATGACGCACACACACCAAAGGCCAGCGGGCGCAAACGAGAGACACAAATGACAGGAGACAAGAATCGTCTTTGCATTGGCTGCGCTGGTTGTGAAGCCCCTGTCCCATCAACACGGCCGCCGTTTCTGATTGGACCTGGGCATGGGAGACAGACGCTACGGTTTCAGAAACCCTGGCGCCCACGCCCTGGCCGTCCCTTGCAGTGTGGCAGTATTGACTAGTGCGCTTGTTTGCTCTTTCCCACGCTACAAACCGCTCTCTAGAGTGGGGACAGTTGGGACTTCCCCCAACTGTCGTTCCAAGACACGAGACCAGGAAGGTGCAATACGGACATCGGCCTGAACCTATTGGCGCAAAATTTGAACGCCAAGGGTCAAGACGGCGCTGTCGTTCTATTGGCTGGGCGCGCGGTAGGAAATTTAGGGGGCCGCAGGGGAAAGTCAACAGGGGAAGGGGCGCAGAAAGGGCTTCATGAGGTGTGCACTTCTGCCTTTCACAGTTGGTGACCCGAGGAGGGCAGGAGCGACAGCGCAGGAGGAGATCGACGGCAGCACAAACTGTATCCAACGCCTGCGATGTATTTCGTAAGTTACCTTCCCTGGCAGGCGCATCTGGCCATTTCTATTCTCGTCTTGCCCCATTGCACATCACCCGCACCCGCGTGCTTGCCTATTGTTGTCCCACGGAGTGCTCCGTACTCTCAATGGCTTCCTCAATCGCATCGAAGCACCCGCTTGCTGGGTGAGGGCCTCCTTTTTTATTTGCTTTCCTCCCGCACGCCGTAGTGTTTCGTGCTACGACTCTTCCGTTCTTTCATCCTATTTTTTTATTTTCTTATTTTCTCATTTTCTTTCTGCACTCATTTCACGTCTGCGTTACCCCTGCTTGTAGCCAAAGATGGAAGGAGCAACCCTTGTCAAAAAAGTCAAATACTGCGTAGTCGACGCCGTAGCCTGATGTCCATGCGTTTTTGGGTTGATTCTTTGGAACCTGGCCCCGGTCGCTCCTGTCTGTTCCTGACGGTCCCTGGCTGTTCCTCACGGTCGTTCCTGGGCTCCCTGGTCCTTTCCTGGTCGCTATTTCCTCCTCTTTGGTGCTTCTTTGGCGCGCTATTGGCGCGCTATTGTTGCCCACTGGGTCGTCCTTTCCCATTTCATGAGGGTCGCTGTCTGCTCTTCGAATCCGCTTCCCTCACCCCCTCTCCTTTCTTGTGTTTGGTTTTCGACTCCTTCACTGTTTCCTCCTTTTCTGTCCGTTGTCACCACGATCTCGTCGCGTTGCATCTTCGCTTTGGCCCTTTCTTCCGTTCGTTTCTTTCTTTTGTTGTCTTTCGCGAATTTTACATTGCCCTCTCGACGGGTACCTGCATTTCGCGTATTCCGCCACGGGTTCGCCTCGAGACACTCTTTGCCGCCTCTCTTTTCGACCGTCTCTGTATATTGCTTTCAGTTCCGTTTCCCACGTTTGTTCTTTTCAATTTTACGACGCCAAAGCAGCTGTGTTTCTTCTGTCTCGACGACAGAACAAACCGGTCTCATTTTCAAACGAAACGCCCAGACAACTAAACAACAAAACAACAAAGCAACACGAAGATAGACTCTTCCCATCGATCCGACTGCGACAACCGCATCTGAACCGTTCTTCTCAAAGGCCGCCCTGTTCGCACATCATTCACGCGCATTCGGTCGAGCATCGAATCACAAAGTGACCAAAACAGCGGGCCAAACTCGACGACAATACCACTGGGACTCATCGATCTAGCTCAAAAACAAGCAAAAGCGCACAACCGGCCCCAACGCCAACAACCATGTGCTCTTGATTGCTCATGATTGATTGCCCGCCCTGATCTACACGGCTTCTAAAAAGGTCATCTAAGACCTTGTCTTGAAAGGTTCGTGGTACCTTGGCACCCAAGACATGCTCCTTCTGGTCTTTTGTTTTTTTGGTCTCTGCTTTTTGGCTGTGTTGCCTCCTCCCTTGCATTCAGCACTTCTGAAACACCACAGTCAAGTGGTCTGGTCCTTTTCGTGGCAGTTTGGTTGCCCTCACCGTCCCTCGTGTTTGCGAATGTCCCAGTTCACAAGCTTCCCTATGATGTCTTTTGTGCTTTTAGTGCTTCTCGTCATCCACTGCTCCGTACGACGCACTTCCCGCAGCTCTGCACATACTTGGCCGCTTTCGTGCGAATGGCACACGTAACTCACCCCCCGTTTTTTATTTCATCCCTCTCCGCTTGTTGTACTACACTGCGCCTTTGTGGTGTAGGAAAACCCTCCGGTCCGGTTGGACTTGTATTATCGGCTCACCTTTCCCCCTGTCCCATTGTTATTGTTGTTCGATTCATCGTCTTTTCGCACTTTTCCTTTGTCAAAATTCGTTCTGTTCTTCACCATGATCTGGCCTCTCTGCATCTGGTCCTTTCTATTCACCATGACGATTGAATTGACTGCTGACTGATTAGAACGGGCAAGTCTCGAAACGCAAAGTGTACGTGATCTTCTTTTTCACCTTCTTAGCCTGCAACTCGGCTGTTTGCACCCCCCCTGGACCCCCCTGCCACCTCTCCTGGTCCCTTCACCAATGCAACATCGAAGCTCTCAAGCCTCTGAGGGTGAACACACGGGGACACCACGACTATACATGCACATTGCCATGCAGCCCCTTCAGCAAACCCCCGTTGGCCCAAGCGAGCAGCGTCCTAGTGATCCAAACTCTTGTCTCGTTAATTCTACCTTACGCATGGGTAAAATATCCGTCTGGAGGGTTACGGGAGTTCTGGGGACATCAGAGGATAGGGTAACCAGTGTCGACCCTGTCTCTGTGCGTGTGCGTGTATTGCGAACATCTGCACCCGTACTGAACCCCAGGTGACTGAGGCCTGCCAACAGCGTCCGCCGTTCTTTGACATCTCTGCTCTTCTGTCGCGTCTTTTGTTCACTTGTACCCTCCATACTATTAATTTCTCCGTTCTGTTTGCTCACTCTTTTCCCCAGACAACCCTCTGGTCAAGGTCGATTGAGCTGTTACAGAGCACCATTGCTGCGGCCCGCATTTTGCTCGTTTTGCTCTCCTTTCCGAACTCTGGAACGCCTCGGATTAAACGCTCTTTTCTTTCTCGACCTTCTTTCGTCTCTTCTTTCTGTACCTTTGCCACGTCTTCTTCTTTTTCTCACCAAACGACTCGCCTTGGACAGGCTGCGACATTGGCACCTCACTCACTTATTCGTTCCTTTCCTTTTTTTGTCTTCTTGTCCCATTTGCTCTTCATCTTTCTTGTCTACTTATTCTTCGCCTCGATTTACCTGAACCCCTGAATCTTGCCGACGACACGCTGTATACACCCAGCCATCTCCTCAATAATCGATACCTAGCGACCCTACACGAGCGTACTATGTTCTCGTACTATTAAATCACACTCGAAATTCGTTTTTCATTTCATCGAATCATATAGGACGACCCACGCGGGGGGATATCAATCTACGGTTTTCAGTCATCGACATCGTCAACAGCAAAGCGTTTGTGTTTGCTGGGAATAGAGCGGAGGATTGAGCGGAGGAAACCGACTCGGAGGAATTTGGTTTTTGGAAATCACTTGTGCTCCTGGGGGGCGGTGATTCTTTCCAAATGAGTTACCCACAAGATGCGGGTGACATGGACCGGCCATCGACTGGAGGATCGATTCGCCGGGCCAGAGAACGAGCCCAGGCTGCTGCTGGAGCCCGCGAGGACTTTACAACATTCGCCAGAAGAATGGCCCAAACAACTCAGCCGCCAGGCTCGCAACAACAGCCACCGCCACCACAACAACAATCCGGCCAGAACACGCGGATACCAATCTCAAGGCCAGTGCCGGCACCACAATGGCCTCTGGCCGGCCCGCTCGCTGCACCATCAAACTTGAACGGAAACGGCAACGGTAACCGAAACGGAGCTGCCAACGAGACGGAGCCGTATCGTCCGCCGCCAGGACGCTCGCAAGTGCCACAGCGGCCACCGCGGCCAAGCCGTGTGCCGTCCATTCTGGACAGTTCAAAAATCCAGGACCCGACGCCGACAGTTTTTGCCTACAATGCCGGAATCCAATCTGAAGCGGATGCGAGTGCGAACTTGCAAGTCCCAGACAGCCGGTCGAAGGCAAACCGGGAGTCTGACTTGTCCATGACACAGCAGTCTAGCGCCTCGTCCATGTCAAGGAATTCAACTGTTTCTTCTGTTGGATCCATCCCAGATTTCCCCGTCCCCGTTGCTGTCCCAGCCGCTATCCCTGTTCCACCTCCTGTGGCCGCCATGCCGCCACCCCGTAGAAGCGTGAACCTGGGCCCTCCACCATCCGCACGTCGTGGCGCGTCGTCCTTCTACTCCAACGCCTCATATGTCTCTCCCATCCCGGAGGAGAGCCCGCGATCTCGTTCGCACGCGTCATTTGCGTCGAGTGCCGCCATGCCCGACAACTGGGGTTCGTCATCGTCCTTGGCAGTGAGCCCGAACTACGCCGATGCCACATCGTTTTACGAAGACATTCCCGAAGAAAGTCGCGAATCATCCAATGCGAGCGGTTATGGTGATGAAGACGGAAGCAGAAGCGGTGCGGGCAGTGCAGAGGGCGATCGCGATCTCGACGAGAAGCAGCTCGATCTTGATGAGAAGCATCTCGTCCGCAGTGCTAGCATCGGCAAGCGTGGCAAGGCTGCTCTCGTGACGACCAGACAGAGAGACAGCAACCCAGGGGTCAATACTTTCCGCGACGGAACTGGTTTTGTCGATGCTTCTTCCTCATCGTCGGCCATCACCGCACAAACGAACAGGGCTACTGCTGGCTCAACGCTGACGGCGGACAGCATCCTCGACGCCTATGATGCAGCAACGTCGACAGATCCCTCAAACCCAAGTCGTCGGCTGTCTGTCTCCCCGCAGCCAGGTTTCGACTTTGGTGGCCCTGCTCGGCCTTACAACCGCCTGTCTGCCATTCGCCGGCCACCACGTCTTGACATTGACGCCGTTCGTAAGGCGGAGGCTCGGGGCAGCTTAACCAGTCTTCCTGATCTTATCCGCCGTGCGACGCGACTTGCTGCTAGTCTTGACAAGGGCCGTCGCCCAGCGAGCCGTCTCGATGACCTCAACATGTCCCCTGGTATGGACGGCCGGGGTCGCACGGAGATGGATGGTGAAAAGCACCAGTCTGGCCTATCAGACATGCTCGCGGCATTTCCTCCCCCTGCACAGGCCAACCGTCGCAGTTTCCGGCAGAGCTTGCGTGAGCAGGTCGGATCGTGGCCGTTGCCTCTTAATATTAATAATGTTCGGAATAGCCGTCTCAGTGGCCGTCCCATGGATGCCGAAAGCATTTCAGACCTGACCGACCTCAAGAACCAGCGCAACAGCAAGGGCCGCCGGTGCTGCGGCTTGCCCTTGTGGGGTTTTCTGTTGGTCGTCGTTGCTGTCCTGATCATTATCGCAGCCGCTGTTGTGATTCCCCTGGAGTTCTTTGTCATCCGCAAACAGAACTCAGCATCGGACAGCACATCGGCACTGGCAAAATGCCAAACCCAAATAAGTTGTGCCAACGGTGGTACGAATGTTGTATCGACCCAGGGCGTTTGTTCGTGCATCTGTACCAACGACTTCACTGGTTTCGACTGCAGTGTTGCTGGAGACAATGGCTGTACAACAACGACCATAACGTCGACAGGTACGACCAGCAGCCTCTCCAACGCCACACTTGGTAATGCGCTGCCGCGACTCATTGAGCAGGCCCAGCAGAACTTTTCCGTTCCGCTTTCTGGAACGGAGATTCTGGCTGTTTTCAACTCTGGCAACTTGAGCTGCGGGGCCGAGAATGCACTGGTGACGTTTAACGGCGAGACTATACGGAAGTCGTCGAGTGGCTCGACCGTTGTGGACTCATTCCTGACTGGAGATGGAGACAACACCTTTGACGACGTGTCTGTTGTCAATGGCGTGGCCATTGTTACAGTTACAGTTGAGGCCACGGGTGTGAATGCAAAGAGAGATGGTACGATTGTGACAGCACCCGGGGGACCTCCTGGAAACCCGGACCAGGTGTTCCCCACTCAGTCCGGCGGAACTCTGACAATCAGCACAAAAATCACGCCCTCGATTGTGTCGCCTACCTCCACGACGACTGTGACCACGACATTCACGCCGTCGCCGACGAACAGTGGCGGAGGAGGAGGCGGGGGCGGAGGGGGTGGCGGGGGAGGAACAGCGACCAGCAGTAGTTCGTCGGCGTCTGCGTCCGCTATTTTCAAGGTGACTGAGGACGTTCTGGACTTTGCACGAGTCGCTGTGCTCTTTATTCTCCAAGAAGACACGCTGGCGAATGCCGAACAAGCCCAGAGCACTCTGCAGAGGTTCTTCACCCAGGCCAGTGCAAGCTCCCTGACCAATGGCAAGGGTGTAACCGTGGACAAGGCGACCAACGTGACACTTGGCAACAGCAACTCGGTCAACCTGGTCCAGCTCCAGGTGAACGCCGCCAACACGCTGCGCGGAGTTGGAATATCCGCCTGAGAGGGGGATGCGTTTCGACGCGGTTCAATTGTACAGTGTAGAATTTTACAAGAACGGAGCTGCGCCTATCATGACACTGGGCACAGCCTTGTACAGGAGGCAAAGGCTTATTTTCTCACACATTTTTGGTATTATACCATATCTTAGCATCTTTCTTTGTCATGTATTTCATATTCACTTGGAGACACACTCCTGGCATGAGCAAGCCTCTATTTATACCAATACCATTTCGTTTTTAGAACAAAACACATTCAATTGACCGATTGATTTCTCTCAATGTCGAGAACAAGCTCTAGATCGTGAAATATTGATAATGTGTATATTTGCGAGTGACATTGTGCCCCCTTCGAAATAAAAAAGGCACGATAGAGCTCACCGGGACAAAAAATGCCCAAAGTCAGCAGGAAATGCCAAGACATGAGACGAAAACATTTTGTTTCAAGGCAGGTACACACAAACACGAAAAGGGGCCATCGGGAGGTCGCAGGACCAAAGGACGACGCACCGGGCTGAAACACGCACCCAGGGGCGGTCTGGCCAATGGTAAACACCACGCTGAGCCAGCCAGCCGCATTACTCGTGGTCCGTGGGGGGGGGGGGGACATGGTCCAAGGTCGACGCGAGAGAGTGGGAAGGAGAAAGACTATGAGAAAAAGCACGGAGACGAAAGAAACACCAGCATTGCAGCTACAACACCGGAACCCGGTTTCGTCTCTTCTTTTATTCGTTTTTGTACATGCACATTGTATATTTTTAACTCGGAAACACGGGGTACTTTGTGCGAATGTACGGAGTACTAAGAAGTGCAGAAGGTATCGTCAAGGTTTCTTGTAGACTCATTTGCCGTGATTATATTGCAGAAAGGGTAAGAAGAAGCCCGCCATAAGAAGCAATAACAATAGATTGCCTCGGGACGGAGTCGCATCCAGGCTCTTAACGAGGGCAGCCTATGGTTGTCGTTTATTCGCCTTACGTTTTTATTCTTTTGATTTCGACAGTTCCAACTCCCCTTTAGCCATCGGCCGTTCGAGGTCTGAGGATCCACGGCACACAAAGGGCATTCCCGGTCGCCGCTTCGTGTTCTTCGGGTGATTTGCATGAACAGCAGCGTTCGAGACGAGAGACGGTGCTTTTCTCTCCTGCGCTCTCAGCAGACTGGCCAAGGTATCGAGCAGAGATACAAATAAAGAGCAAGAAGAGGGTTAGAGTTTGCGTCCCCAAACGCGTAATTGTCGTCGATGACTAGCATTCTCCTTACTGCCCTTCCTCGTCGTCTCTCTCTCGTGATTTCATCGTAGTTTGTAAAAGTAAGTACACACACTTGAGGTCTTCGTATCAGACCGGGGATACCGCCTGTAATTATGTGCAGGGGTGGACTCGATGGACACGCACTTGGAAGGCTTGCAATGCGACCACATGGATTCTCCTGCAGCAAATCCAGGCGCCGCTCTCTACATTCCCAAAGTCATGCAACAACAGTAACTTTCAATTTTGGACTTGCTGTACTTGCATATCACCATGCTCCAACGTTTCCTTTGTTACTGACCACAATGCATATCAAGATGCAGCACGGTACTAAAGCACCGACGATCAACTGAACAGAGACTCGCGACAATTTGATCTTCCTTGAGCACCACTGCACTGTTCTCGAAAAGTCAGGCGAGAGCCCCCCACTCACCAACTGTTGCATGAGGATGGGGCCTTGCATGGAGCGAATTGGGAACCCGTGAGATGTCTCGTTCCGGATCGGGTCGACCATGCTGCAACCGGACTCTGAGCGTTCTGTGTTTGAATAGGGCCGTTGTTCGCTTGGCGTCTTTGCTTGCTTTTACGTGCTGCTTGTTGCTTGCCCATTGTCACGTCAGCCTGCCATTGGTTGCTCCCTTTCCCAGTCCTTTTCTTTGCCTCTCGCTCTCGTCTCGCTCTCCCGATGGAAAGGGAGGGAGCCGAGAAACTGCGCTGTGCCCCTTGTTGGAGAAATTGCCCGGGGCCTTCATCAATGGTCGGGGTGGATTTCGACGGGTTTCCACGTTGCACGTTGTTCCTGCCGTTGGCGCACATTGTTGTGCGACTTACAAACTACTCCGTGTAAAACTCCATACTCCCCAAGCCGTCTCCCTGGCTCCATAACCAACGGTCCCTTTGCACGAGACCCGTTTGAAGCGCTAACGTCTGTTCGTCCATGACCCGCTTTGGGACAGTTGATCCTAACATGGTGAACATGTTGTCGCAACACTCGGCCATCGTCATCGTGAGGAGACGGAGCCTCGGTCGGGTAATGGCCTCGGCGTGCGATGGTTATCGCGATCTGCATGACGTAGCTGAGCTGCTGTGCGTCATTGTGTCCGGCCCTGATGTCCTTCATTTTTCGTATCGGTCTTGCGAGGCTGGCATCAACACGAATTGGAGGCCTGCTGGCGGTGGCGGCAGGGTTTAAAGTTGGCAGAATAATAGGGTCTCGGTATGGGCTTCTGTTTTGCAAGTTGCGAGATCAAGGTTAAGCATGTGGATGTGACTCAACGATGCGGCTTTGCCTGACCTATTTCCCTACGCCCTTCGTTCCTTGGTATCTTACTTTTGCGTTCCACGCTCTTTCCTTAGAAGTCCCCGGTATCCGTGCTAATGTCGTCCACCACTGGGAAGGCAGGAACTACGGAGTATCGTCGTATCCCTGGCACGTTTATGCACTGCGTTCCTGGCCTAAACCCGTCTGCCTTCACGCGCCTTTCGCACGGGATCCTCCCACTCCACTTCGTGCGGCGCTATTGGTCTTTGGAGGCCCTCCTCTCACGCCTTTCCCTCCTCTAACGTCTATCCGCTCCCCTCTCTTCCAGCACCCTTTTTGCACTATTCTTGGGTGAGGTCCCATCGTGCCTTCCTCTTGGGCGGCCGTTCTTTCGCAGCGAGGTGACGCCAGGGTGAACCCTTTCCCCATCTCTCCTTCGCTCTTTCCCTCTCTTGTCGGGTGTTGTCCCACTTTGCCCTTTTTGTGTCTGTTCCTCCTTCCCTTTCTGCGTTGTTCCACTATGTCTACGCTGCTTCTCCACCTGCCAACCGTTCGTTCCTTCTTCTCAACTTATCGACGAAGCCTCCTTTCTTCTCTTCTTGTTTTCTTTTCTTTTTTCTTTTTCTTTTCTTTTTTTTTACCTTCGCTATTCACTCTGCATTCTCATAACGACCAAGGATTGCGCCGCACCCTGTTCCACCTCTCGACATACCCTTGCGCGGTCACCTACTGTCCGCTCTCCCACTTCTCGTCCCTTGCGTGTGCAACGTGCCCGCCGAAACTGTCGATCAGCATTCGCCCGAAACGCAGTTGACCGCTGTGGTTTCGTTGCCTCGCTGCCCTTTTTCTAGACTTCTTGGACAAACAACAAACACAACCGACAAAAAGAGACACAAACAGGCGCGGCTTTGCTGTATTCTTCGACTCTGTCTCGTTTTTATCCGCCGTCAACCACACAACTTTTTCTATTAGCCGCCGACGACTGGTCGTCATGCGACACTAACGAGCTTTCGACAGCTACCTTACACAACATACTTCTTCCTCGGCGTCTTTCTTTCATAATACTTTTTGGTCGCCATTTCTTGCTTTTCTTCTCAATTTGTGCTTCGCCATGGAAGCCTAAGGGCCTTGTCGGCAGTCGATACTTTCTTTCTCTTTCCCTTTCTTTCGGTTTCGTCTCTGCACCTAATCCGACTACTTTCCAAGGGTCACTCGACGAGATCACAACTTGATCCACCGCTTCCTATTTCGAACGACACGACACGACTGCGCCTGTAAACCCACGGCGTCACCATGGCGTACGACGGCGGATATGCGCCGCAGCAACAGCAGCGCCCCTACAATGGACCAGCAGCTCCACGACCGCCGCCACAAAGACAATACCCGGGAGGTCCTGCACCAAATGGACCTGGTGGACCTGGCGGACCTGGCGGCCCTGGTGGCGGCCAATACGGCGGATACGGTGGCGACGGAGGCTATGGCGGCGACTACAGCGGCGGTTATGACGATCCGGGCTACGGTTACGACGCACCACAGGACTACGGCGGTCCAGGCCGTGGCGGTCGTCCACCCATGGGCGCAGGGAGGGGCGGTCCTCCGCCCAGACAGATGACAATGGACAATGGTGGCGCTCGGGGCCAGTATCCTCCACGAGGCGGTGGACCTGGCCCTGGGCCTGGCCCCATGAGAGGGGGCTACCAGAACGGACCACCACGTCTCCGCCCAGGGCCACCAGAACGTGGAAACACGTCGGACCCGCTGAGTAGGTGATTTCCTTTTCCATTTTAGCTACTACTGCTTCTTCCTCATCTCTTTGTGGATACGAGTTCTCAGCTAACACTACCAGTGAATCGCGGTCGCAATGGCCCGCCAGCGAGCCCAATAGACGCTGGTTTTGGCGGCAATGCCTTCCCGCCTTTCCCAGGCCAGCAAGGAAAGCCGGATCGCTACGACGAGCAGCAAATCATGGACGGCATTTCTGGCATGGATATCTCCGGTAACCGACAAGGCCCGCCACCGGGCGGTCCTAACGGCCGTGGGCCACCACCGATGCGCGGTCCAATGGGTGACCCGCGTGGCGGCGGTCCTGGTTACGGTCCTCCTCGGGGTCCACCTCAACGATCATACACGCAGCAGGGTGGGGGATTTGGTGACCCAGGATACGGCCAGCCGCCCCCGAGAGACTTCCGCGATGACAACTTTGGGCCACCAAGTCGTACAATGACGATGCCTACATCCATGGATCCTATGGGCGGGCGCGGTCCTCCGGGCGGTGGACCGTACCGTCCATTCAATGGTCCTGGGCCAGGACCGAGCGGCGGTGGACCGGGCATGATGCCACCTCAGCGGCCATCGACCGCTCAAGGCTCTCGCCCGCCGCTGCAAAGAATGTATCCTGATGGTGGTGGCAACCCAGGCTTCGCCAATGGCCATCCTGGTCCTAACCAAGGCTACAATCAGCCGCCACCGGAGGAGCGCGCACGGCCATCATCCTTTGACGATTTCTACGATACTTACTACGACTCCCGGGAAAGCGGTGACTATGCCGGTGGGGCTATTGGCCCGAATGGTCCCGACGAACCACAGCACCGGCCACAAGGCTCTTTTGATCGGGGTGCCTATCCGAATGATGGCCCTGGTCCTCAGCGAGGCGCAAACCGGGTCCCTGAGATTAATAGAACAAAGTCTCAGCCCGACCTACGCCAATCTCAAGAAGCCGTTTTTGAAATGGTCGGTGACATTCCGCCCATGCCGACACCTGGATCCGGCGGCCACCAACAGCAAGGGGGCCCGCCGTCTGGCCCCGGCCCGGTAAGACGAGGAAGCGGCGCATCAGCCCGATCTGGTTCCAACGGCGACTCTCTTCCTGCACACCCCACACCGGTCCGCCCTGGTCTTATCCCCAACTCGGTTGCAAGCCAGCAACTCAGCAACCGACCAATGCCTGTGCGCAATTACAACGGCGGTGGTGGGGGTGGGCCCATGGGGTCGATGTCGTCGACACCTGTGCAGAACCAGCCCATGCCACAACCGCCGCCGCCCACCATGCAAGCTATGCAGGCCATGCCGCCATCATCCAACGGTCCATTGGCCAACGAACCACCACCGCCGGAACCGCCCGTCACGCCGGAGCTGCTCGAGCGATTGCGGAACGCGGTAAAGGCCGACCCCAGCAACCAAGAAGCTTCCCTGAAGCTGGCCAAAAAGCTTGTAGAGGCGGTCGATGAGCTTGTGCCGACACTGCCTGACCCGCGCACGCGAACCAAGGCCCGCGAGCGGTACGCCTTTGACGCGCACAAGCTGCTGAAAAAGCTGACCAGCCAGCAAAACGCAGACGCCATGTTCTTCATGGCCGATTGCCTGGGCCGTGGCACGTTTGGTCAGGAGCCAGACAACAAGGATGCCTTTACACTGTACCAGTCGGCGGCGAAACTGGGCCACGCGGCGGCGGCCTACCGCACGGCTGTGTGTTGCGAGATTGGCAACGAAGAGGGCGGCGGTACGCGCAAGGACCCGCTCAAGGCCATCCAATGGTACAAACGCGCGGCGACGCTCGGTGACACGCCTGCTATGTACAAGGTTGGCATGATCTTGCTCAAGGGACTGCTGGGTCAACCGCGGAACCCGCGCGAAGCCGTTGGCTGGCTTAAGAGGGCAGCCGAGCGCGCGGATCCGGAGAACCCGCATGCCTTGCACGAGCTGGGCCTGCTTTATGAGAGCGCACAGCCCAACGACGTCATTCTGCGGGACGAGGCGTACGCGTTCCAGCTGTTCAAGCAGGCGGCCGACCTGGGGTACAAGTTCAGCCAGTTCCGCATGGGGTGCGCGTACGAATACGGCCTGATGGGATGTCCCGTCGACGGCCGCCTGTCGATTATGTGGTACTCCAAGTCGGCGACGCAGGAGGAGCACCAGTCGGAGCTGGCGCTGAGCGGCTGGTACCTGACGGGCTCGGACGGTGTGCTGCAGCAGAGCGATACAGAGGCATACTTGTGGGCGCGCAAGGCGGCGATGGCGGGCCTGGCCAAAGCCGAGTATGCTATGGGGTACTTTACCGAGGTGGGCATTGGAATTCCAGCGAACCTGGAAGATGCTAAGCGGTGGTATTGGCGAGCGGCTGGTAAGAGTCTCCCTTTTGTCTTGTGTCGTTTTGATTTGGTCGCTCTCTCTCTTCAACTATCGCGTCGCCTTACTAACGACAAACAGCACAGGATTTCCCAAAGGCTCGCGAGCGGCTGGAAGACCTCAAGCGGTCCGGTAAGACGGGTCCCCGGCAGCGGGAGCGGATATCACGCAGCAAAATTGGCCGGCAGCAGGAGGGTGAGTGTCTAGTGATGTAGTTGGGCCCAGGAAGGGTTCATGGAGGCGGGATGGGTGTCAGAGTCTCCCTTTTATCATAGTACATAAAAACATACTACACGGGCAGAAGATGCCGCTCGTAGCATCACGCCCCAACCAGCAACGATATCCCCTCTGTACATATGGTATTTCTCTTATTCACGTTTTCATGTTAGCCCAACGCCGTGCATGTTACGAGTTTGTGATTGATTGCTATGAAGTTCTCATTGTGTAGGCACCCTCTTTTAATCGTGTAATAAAATCATGCATGGATGCGCAAATGCGCAAATGCGTGAGAAACAATTCCAGGCAAATGGCAAAGAGAATAGAGAGCAATTTTGTTTCCGAGAAGAGGAATCGCTCTACTGCTCTTTATAACGAGCTCTGCATCCCCAAGTTGTAGCTACCCATGCATTCTCTTAATACGTCCCCTCTGAAGCCCTTTCGTACGCAATCTCTCCTACTGCTCGCCCTCCTTGATGGCCTCCTAGACGGACTCGACCTTGTCCTTGACGGCATCGGCCAGGGGCTCGGCAGTCTTACCAGATGCCCGGGCCAGGTAGATGCGGGCGCACTGGACCATGCCGGCAACGCCCAGGAAGAAGTTTGCAGCGGCCAGCATGATGTTGCGGGGCTTGATGATCAGGCACCAGCGGGTCCAGATGAGGCCGGTGGCGGTCAGGGCGACGTTCTGAGTGACGGACAGCTTCTCGGCGGGACGGGCCAGATCGGAGATGCCGGCAATGACCAGCGCCCACTTCATGATGGGGGCCCTGGAGTGGTTGTTAGACATGAGAAGACGGAAACGGGCGCGGGCGGAGCGAGGACTGGAATGAACGAAACCTACCAAAAGTGCACCGTCTTCAGGCCAATGGGGCTGTCCCACATGCGCTTGAACCAACTGACATTGGCCTCCGCAGCACCGGCACCGGCGGCACCGCTCTGGAAGCGGCGACCGTAGAAATTGCTGCTCTTGGTGTTGTTGGTGCCGCGACGGAAGGCGGCGGCGAAGAACGAGGCCGAGGAGAAGCGGGGAATCGTTTTTGATGCTGGCCGGCTGCCGGTGGCAATGCGGCGGACAATCATGGAGGAGGCAGTCGGGGTGTTGGCGGAGAAGAAGGTAGCCGAGGCGAAGGGCCGCGCGGCGACGCGGGCAAAGGTAGCCGAGGACGACATGGTGGTCGTGTGCGTGAGAGAGGTTGTGAGAGGGGGCGAGAGGGGTTGCGAGGCTGCTGTAAAAAGATAGAGGGTATATGGTGATGTCAACAAAGAGTGGATGACTCTTTTTCGGGCTCCGGACTCTTCGGGGGCTCGGGTTGATTTCGGACGAGGTTGTGTGCTCGAGGAGTGTCGAGAGCGATTGGAGTGGGGAGTGGTCGAGGAGGATAGTCGCCGAGAAGCTCAAGGGCGACAGAAAATAGCGTTTGTTATCGTATCGCAAAAAGTCGTGATCCAAAATGGCAAGCGTCGTGTCGTTGGGAAGAAGGCAGGAAAGGCCGAACAGCGGTCCGACGAAGATGGCGTAGAGATAGGGAAGAAAGGGGGGAGGCACCACGACGGATAAAATTTTGGTGGGACTTTCCCAACTCAGGACGACCGCATTGGCGAAATCCGACGCAGGTGGGCACTCGTTGACTCAACGATTTCGGGGCTCGCTTTCGCGCTGTCGGGGGCGACTAGCCGCTGGATGACAGCGGGCGCCAGGGGCCAAGAGCATTGTCGTGGGACCCGGAGATAAGCAAAGAAAGTTCAGTAGAATGCACGTGATCTCGAGTTGTGATGGGCAGGCCGAACGACGACTCCGAGAGGATAGAATGTGCTTGGAATGCTCAATTAAGTTTGTTCTAAGAGTCTATGTCTCGTTCTATCTATCATGATAGCCTGCTTCGTCGCGTTGGACTGATGGCGCTGCATTATGGTCGCTATCCGCTCTTATTGTATGGTGTCGCTCACTGTACATTTGTAGTCGCTGTAGATTATAGGGCTCTCCATGAGACGCTAGTTCTCGACTGCAGCCAATCAGAGGCCACCCTTTTGCAGTCGCAGCCCCAATTGGATCGGCTCTCGCTTTCTTGGGTCCAAAAGTCGCAACGTCCAAAAGACAAAGCAATACGGCGTGGTGTCTCTTCCGTCTTCGCTCTTTGCCCTCCCTCCTGTCCTTCCACAACACACCACCTGCCACAATGTCGAGCAAATACGCCTTCACAAAGGGCCTCAAGGAGGTCCGCTTCCTGTTCTGCCAGACTGGCGAGCAGAGCGCGGCCACGCGGTAGGTCCGGTCCAGTCCTTTCGTTGATCGTGATGAGTGGAGGATCCTGCAGCCTGAATGGCTTCCCCATGCTAATCCGTGCATCCCTCCAGTACATTCCTCACCCGCGCGTACCCGACGATGAAGAAGAACAACCCGAACACGCCGATACTTCTGCGCGAGGCCCAGGGCACGCTGCCCAAAATCTATGCCCGCTACGACCTCGGCCGCGAGACGAGCAAGACATTGGAAGGTAGGTCGCCGTGTTAGACGCTATGATGGTGGCGGTGTCGGTGACGGTGATGACGATATCGATGCTGCCATCGTAGTGTTCTCCGCTAACGCATTGTGCAGGCCTGACGGACAAGCAGATTGAGGATGTGGTTTCGAGCCTGGTCAAGAGCGAGGCCTAAGCGGGCGACGATTCGGCGAATATAGAGCGGCGAAGAACCAATCGCCGAAAAGAGGAGAGCCGACAATGGGCGCACATGCTGTTTCTCCCTGTGTATATAATGACAAAAAAGCGATTCGCTGAAGGCATAAAAAATACGAAATATCAAAAAAAAGCTGGACCCGCTAAACCTTTGGTGTGGCGGCTGATGGGTTGGCCATGGGTGTATGCTGATATGCCGGTTTGTGCTGCGTTTCTGCCGCCTGGCTACATGGGCCATCGGCCCATGTTCATTACGGCGCTTGGGCTCTGGCGGCAGACCATCTGGTGTAGCTCGGGCGTCGTACCGGTAAATCGGACGCGCCAATACTCGTCGGCACTGTCGAACGGCGGCTTGTTGCTGACGACCTCGAGCGGTAAGGGGACAGCAGACGGCGACCGACGCTCGGCACGCTAGGCTGGGTGCACGATGCGGTAGGCAAAACAGGCCGGCAGCGGGTGCATGACCGCCAACGAGCCACCACGGCTGTACTCGGGAGGGATCTTGTGTGGTGTCTTGAAGTGGGGATGGCACAACTTCCAGGGCAAGAGGCGGTAGTCCCAGACCGGGGAGCAGGGATCGAGTTCCTGGCTGCGGCAGGTTTCCTGCTCGCCTTGATACGCTCCATGTGGCATGTGGCTTGCCTTGCTAGTAGCATCACGGTGCGTTCTGGCATGGCCATTGAGGTCGAGGATGAGGGCGAAGACGGCGTCCCAGAGCCGACAGAAGATATGGCGGCAGTGGGTGTACCTAGCAGGCTCATTTAGCGAGATAGAATCGCCAGAGTCCGCCTTCAGCTGTTCGTCCACAACGGCCGGTTTGCCCTGCGTCTTGTTTCCGAGCTGTGACAGGTCAAACTCTTTCCTCTCCTTCTGCGCCCGGCGCTTCAGAGTCTTGCGTATGCCCATGGCCGACGACAATGTGGTTTTGCATAAGACCAATAGTAGGGAATGTCGGTGAGTTGGTACATAACAATAATATATGGGCGAGGCAGGGGTGAAGTTGAGTGTGCTTGGATTATAAAAGGGCAAGCAGTGGCAGGTCGAATATATCAACAAGGGGATTCTGGGATAGACGGAGCGTGTTGCCGCTGTGGCTGTACAAATCTCAAAATGAGGAAAGAGCCACAGTGTGCTCTTGCAGTTTCTTGTCCAACACATCGACACAATTTTTTAGAGAAGGCAGGATCTCAGACTCATGTGGCAGGAAGGCGCAAACGGTGCAACCGGCGGGCAATAATGACGCGACAAAAGAGACTCTCGCTGCGCTCGCAAATCAAGAGCACCATCTGTCCATTACTGGTAGTCTCCCATGAGTAAGGCATCAGACAGCCAAATCAATAAATGAGCTGTTATAGGCTGAGAGGATATGCAGCCCGCAGCCACGCTGGCCAACATGTAAGGAGAAGCCACATTCAAATCTGTTCAAATACTCAGTCCCAAAGATTTGGCCCTTTGTCCCTTTTCCTTCCGGTATATATATGTGTATGTATGTTTTATTCTTCGTTTGCTTGGCGAGCTATGGTCGTTCCGCCCCTGCAGGTAGTCGTCGCTATGTACCTACACGCATGGCTTCGTACCGTTATTCCTCCTGCTTGCTCGCATTGAGAAGCTTCAGGATCTCCGACTCCTTGTCGCCGGCCACGGCCCTGCCATTGTTCCAGTCGACCACCACGGGCCGCTGGAAGTTGTCGTGGCTCTCGCGGAACTTGCGCAATGCCTCGTTCTGCGACTTGGCGCCCTTGACAATCGCCGGGATGCCGGCGGTGCCGACGTACTCGAGGATGGTCTGCAGCTGGTCGGTGGTCGGCGGGTCCTCCGTGATGTTGAGGTCAAACGGCTCACGGCGCGAGGCAGCGGCCTGCTCGGTCTGCGGACGGTGGTCGCTGGCCTGGTCCTCGGTGGCCGTCTCCGAGGCATGCGCCGACGCCTGCTTGAGAAGGCTGACGACGCGCATGGATGCGGGCGAGCTGGCCTTGTGGAACAGCGTTACAATGTCGAGTGTTTTCCGCTAAGTGTGTCAGCAGATGGTGGCTTTATGAGCTTGTTTACTTGACGCCGGGACGCTTGTTTTGAACTTACGAAACCAAACATGATGGCGGCCGTTGTGTGCGGGTGTCAATTGGTGTGAAGCAAATTCGATTCCGTGTTGGGATGCGTCTGGATCGTTTGTGCTCGTCAAATTTGTGTTGCAAATTCGAGGTTGCAGAGGGGTAAGATCGAGCAACAAAGATGAAATCGGGGAGACGAGCGTTGGAGCTCAATTGCTCTGCAGCCGATGACGTTGTTGCTGGACAAAGTGGGCCCTTGAAGCCGCCCGTCCAAACACGTGATATGCACTTTTAAGCGACAAAACTGCTCCGTAATTCACCTCTACGGGAATGTTGCATAACAGGTTCGCCAACCAGCAAAATAGCTTGCCGACACACCATTTACATGGCGGACACCATGCATTGAACAACCGTATGCTTTCTGCCGTTCTTGGCGGCTTGTTCTGCACTCGACACAGCGTCCGATCTACCTGCCATCGCTGGCCGGCCAGAAGGAGACACTCTGATTGCAGAACTAGCCGTCTCGTGTCCGACCGCTTTCGAGCTCCTGGCAGATGCGGGCTTCGGTCTACGCTGTACTATGCTGGCCGTTATGGACACTGATGGCGGCGCAGTGACCAAGTCCGCGAGCTGTCTTCCGTGACAGAAGCACTTTCCCTGTACATCGTAAACATGCGGTAGGGGGTTCCTGCCGTTATGGGCTGGTCCGCTTATGTAACCCGCTGTCAATATTTTGTGCCGGGCTTAAAGGGTGGGGTTGACTTTCGAGCAAAAACTCGTGAGAATGGCCTCATTCTCCTCGATGCGGGGACCACCTGGCAGGCCGCTGGAATTCTCTTCCTACAAGGTTGACAGGCATTTTCGAGTCCTTCAATTATCGTCGTGCCGTCGTCGCCATGTCTCCTTATCTGGGCTAGTCAGTTGACACGACGGTTTTCTTCTTTTTTCTTTCGTTTTGTTTTCCTTTTCTTCTTTTCTTCTCTCCTTGTTTTGACTCCCACTTTGGCCCCATTTCCTAACCGTCATGGCCTCAAACTTTGACCCAGCCGCCTACGATGGCGTCGACCTGGCTGTGGCCGGTGCCAAGCAGCCGTTCCTGGCCCGCCGGGGCTACGTGCACGCTACGTGGGCACGCACCTTTGCCTCACGGCCTGAGCTGTTCATCCAGCCGTCCACCGTGGACGAGGTCGAGCAGGTGGTCAAGCTCGCACGCCACCGCCGCCGGCGCATTGCCACTACGGGCTGTGGCCACTCGCCGTCAGACATGACGTGCACCAGCAGCTGGCTGGTCAACCTGGACCGCCTCAACCGCGTCATTGCAGTCGACCGTGCCTCGTGCCAGGTAACCGTCGAGGCCGGTATTCGGCTCTTTGACCTGAGCGCCGAGCTTGCCAAGCACGGCCTGGCCCTGCCGAACCTGGGCAGCATCAACGAGCAGTCGCTTGCAGGCGCATGCGCCACGGGAACACACGGCAGCAGTCTGCAGCACGGTCTGCTGTCGGACGACATTGTGGCGCTCCGAATCACGCTGGGCGACGGCACCACCAAGACATGCACACGCGACACGGCCGACGCCGACGAGAACGACCTGTTTCGAGCCGCCTTGCTGTCCCTAGGCACGCTGGGCATCGTCGTGGAAATCACGCTGCGCGCCGTGCCTGCGTTCCGGCTCAGCTGGTCGCAGACGGTGGACAAGGACTCCGTTGTTTTTGACGCCTGGAAGCGCGGCGACACGGACGGCACCGCGCGGCACAGCGAGCTGTGGACCCAGGCGCACTTTGTGCGCGTGTGGTGGTTCCCCTACACCCGGCGGGCGGTCGTGTGGGCGGCAGACGACTGCGCCAAAACCCCCGAGGAGCAGCCCGACTTTACGCCGCCCACATCCTACTACGACAGCACCCTCGGCTACCTTGTGTACCACAACCTGCTGTACCTGTCCCGCTTCGTGCCGCGCATCCTGCCGTGGATCGAGTGGTTTGTCTTCGGCATGCAGTATGGCTTCCGCAACGGCTCCACGACGTCCGGGTTGCAGCCCAGCGACAAAGCCCTGCTGATGAACTGCCTGTACTCGCAGTTCGTCAACGAGTGGGCCATTCCGCTTGCGCGCGGTCCCGAAGCGCTGACGCGGCTGGGCGCGTGGATCAACCGCCTCAAGCCCGGCGACGAGGGCTACGTCGACCACCGCATCCCCTTTTCGGCCGACGGCCTGTATGTGCACGCGCCCGTCGAAGTGCGCGTGGCCGACACGGCAGCAAAGCAGCAGCTCCGCAGGCGGGACAAGCCAGACTCGCCGTCGACGCGGCCCTTCCTCGACCCGACACCCACCGACACGCCCACGCTGTACCTCAACGCCACCATGTACCGGCCGTATTACAAGGACCCGCCTGGTTTGGACCGCTACTACGAGGCCTTTGAGTGGCTGATGCGCGACCTGGGCGGCAGGCCGCACTGGGCCAAGAACTTTGGCTCGGACCATGCCGAGCTGGTATCGGCCTACGGACACGACTTGGCCAAGTTCAACAAAGTGCGCAACGCAGCGGACCCCGACGGCGTGTTCGTCGGTCCTTGGCACCGCCGCTACCTGCTCGGCGAGGGTGCCGATGCCCAGCCCGATCTTCGCCTTGAGGAGCACGAGAAGCGCCGAGCTCTGGCGACAGACTACACCGTCTTCATCTCGGGCGCCGTCGGCGAAGCAGGACGGCACTGAATGACTTGTCGAGTATTTTGGGTGCATGAGCTTTCAGTTATTTGTTACTTCTTTTGTACATTTATGCTCTTTGGCATCCACTTCTTTTTTTTTTTTTTTTTTTTTGAATTCATTGCCACGCGGGCGTTCCAATGTCAAGAGGTCGCAAGGTATCTATCTATTGTATCGCAACATGTCATTTCGCTTATATACAAGAATACCGCGTGTTTCTCTTCTTGGTCCCTTGTCGTCCCATTAGTCCTACATATGCCACTTAGTGCAACTTAGTGCAGCGACGGACACCCACAAGGCGCCCTCCTTCGGATCGTGGTTGAGGTGTTGACTGGCTGTGATGAACCAGTGTCGTTGTCCTCGAGCAGAGGACCATGAACCGAACGGTCTCCGTCATCGTCACCGTCCTCTTCCGCCTTTGGGCTGCTGCTACTGCTGCTGCTGCCTTCACTGCTGCTATCCCGAACACCGACCTTGGACATGCCAAACTTCATGCGGTCCCAGCCAGGCGGTGAGTTCCTTGATGTTCTGCTGTCATGCCTTCTCCTTGTACCGACCGACGACGCTTCAGCAGAGATGCGGCCCAGCCCTCGGTACCGCCACCACAGCCAGAACAACGCACCACTGGCAATAACAGCAAGGGCCGTCATCGGATACGCATACGACGCAAAGCGTTCGCTCTCGCCGCGTCCACCGACGGGTGGGATCCACGGCAAGACGAGCAGCAAGCAATTGCTGGTGGCGAAGACGATAATGGCCAGGCGCGGCGCCGGCCACGGCGACACCCAGCGCTCTGATGGCGTGGTGTGCAGGTACAGCAACCCGGCCGCGATGGCCACGCTGATAACGGATACGGGGTAGCCGCCAATGTCGACCAAAAAGTTGTATATCTTGCCGGGCGGCGGTACGACGATGACCAGCACGGACACAAGCCAGTGCAGCAACAAGCCACGGGAGGGCGTTGGATTGGTGGTTGTCCCCATCGTCCCCATCGTCCCCATCGTCCCCATCGTCCCCATCGTCCCCATCGTCCCCATCGTCCCCGTTGTCCCCATCGTGTCCATCACCACCTTCTTGTCCTTCTTATCGCCCGACCGCCAAAACGAAGCAAACGGCAACAGGCCATCCTTGGCCAGCTCCTCGTTGACTCGGGCCTGCGCAAACGACGTCGCGGCAATGTTACCTGCGGCCGAAATGATGACAAAAATGGGCAGCACTCGTGCGCCAACGCCGTCGCCAAAGAGGTTGCGGAAAAAGACGCCGGCCACCACGACTCCGGCCGACCGGAAGGCGTCCTTGTCGACGACGAGAAAAAAGGCGACGTTGACGGCCAGATACGACAGCGACACAAGGACGAGAGCCAGCGGTGCAGCCACGCGCAGAGTGCGTACAGGGTCGCGGACGTCGGACAGCACCTGGTTGGCGGTGCTGTAGCCGCGGAAACAGTAGATGACTTTGAGGAGGGCAGTTGCATAGTCGTAGGGCTGCGACGACGAGCCAGCCCAAATGTCCTGGAAGTTACGACGGGCCGTGCTGATGCCGGCGTCAAGTTGGCGGCCCGTCACTATGCCTGTGGCGGCAGCGGTAGAATTCGTTGTCGTTGTTGTACGAGCCGGATCCGACCCCACACCCATTATCCCCCCTGCGACCCCCGATATGACAACGACCACGAGCATCAGCATCTTGACGGCGCCCAGGACGTTGATCAGCTTCAGACCCAGACGCGGCTGCCACGCGTGCACGGAGCACAGCACCGTCACCGACACGACGGCAATGGCGCGCACATTCCAGCGGTTCACGGGCACACCCAGGGCGTAGAGGGCGTACTCGCCGAGCACTATGGCGTTCGGCGTGGAGAAGCCGAGCAGCACGACATAGGCCATGAACATGCACGTGGCCAGCATGCGCGGCCGGCGGAAGATGCGCTCCAGGTACACGCGCTCGCCGCCGCTGCGGGGAAGGGCCGTGCCCAGGTCCAGATAGACGGCGAGGCCGCAAAACGAAATCAGGCTGCCGACAGCCCAGACGAGCAAGGCCATGCCGACCGAGCCCACGCCTTCGAAAATGGCCGACGGCACGGAATAGGCACCGACGCCAATGGTCTTGCCGACGATGATGCTGACGGCCGATACGACGCCCAGTTTTGTGTCGTCGTCATCGCGGGCGTGGGCGTGAGAGAAACGGTTGAAAGGCGCAACTCCGGGTGTGGGTGGTGATCTTGGTAGAAACCACGAGCGGTCATTCACAGTGTCGAGGTCATCGGCATCGTCGTCTTCATCGACAACAGTGTCCCGACTGCTCCCATCCCCTGGTAATGTGGGCCACGTCCGTCTTGACGGCGATGGTAGCGGTCCGAACTGCCGTAGCGGCGGTACTAGAAAGGCCGATGCGACTGTGTTGTTAGGCGATAAGGAAAGTGCATGCCGAGCGCTTCCTCGGTGCGGACGGGAGCCGGCTGCTCCCGCTCCGCCTGATACGCTAGTACCGGCGCTAGTGCCGATATCGTGTGTGGGCCGGACCGGTGAACGACAGCTTAGTTGGAAGCTGGCCTGCAGAGGCGAGGCAGCAGAAGATATGGCATCATTGATCAAGCCAAGGGACCGGGGCGATGACGTATTTAACTGAGATGGCGCCATTGTGTGTCAGTGTACTCCGTATCGGTATGTCAATATTGGGCCAGCGCCTCACACCTTGCCAAGACGGGCGACTGGGCAAGTTACTGAGTAGGCGGCTGTCCAAAGTGTGGCTCGCTTTGAATGAGCAAGTTTCTGATGCAGGAAGGGGTGGGAAGGATACTGGTAGGAGTGTGAGATTGATAGGGGAATTAACAGAAGGGGTTAAGTAGGAAGAAACTTGCTCACGAAATATCGCAAACGGGATAAGAACTGAGCAGAGGAGGGAGGATGGACCAGAAAACAGAAGAAGCCGAAGCGAAATGGGTGCAAAGACGACGTAGTGGTAGGGCTGCAAGGACAAGATTGGTCAGAGACGCCCTTGTCGCGCCATGACTCGCCAACGGGGAGGTGTCACAAGGAGGTTAGAGCAAAGAAACAGACTCGGAAAATATGAGAAACTGGGAGGAGATGGAGAAAAAAAAAGGAAGAGGGCGATACGTCAAGGATATTGGGACTGGGTTTGTTTAAAAGCAGCAGAAACACCCACGCAACGACCAAAGACGACAAACGGCGACGACCGACGATAACAAAAAAAAATGGACAAACGACACTACGCTTCGAGTACAGATGCTCTTCTGGGGGATAAATGTGAGTTACGATGGACGGACACTCACCACGCAAAGCGAAAGCCCGGCAATCAAGGGCACAAAGCAAGAAGAACAGGCACACAATAAGACGGGCGGAATGGACAGCGAGGAGCGAGTCCGGCTGTTGGAACCGAGAACTCCAAAAACAAATCAAATCAAATCAAATCACGTCCAGTCCAGCGGGAATGACGAAACGAAGAAGAAAAGAAGCCGACAAAGAATGGTAGCCAACCTCCAGCTTGTTGGGGGATCGACCATCTCCGTCTTTCTTTCTCCTTATCGTTTGGGCCGTTGGGTCGTTTCTGGATTTGGTTTGTTCAAATACAGCGTTGGCCTTGATTTCTGGTGTTTGTCCGTCATGAAGGATTTGTTCTTTCCTGTCGTCTCTCTCGTCTTTCTTCCCATTTGTCTTCTTCCCCAGATGCAGGCTCAGTCTTGGCGTGATCGACTGTCGGAACCATACAAATGAAACGGAATAGACGAACAGAGAGTTTACCGACTTTGCCCACTTAGTAGTGCGACTTACACGCACGGATTGTCGTCGGGGATGTGTCGTCTTGGCACAGAAAGTGTCGCGGAGAGCACAAGTTTGCCAATCTGAAACATGGCGCGCAGCAGGTGTCAGGCACCGCCAATTATCCGTGCAGGGTGCGACAGGAGTGGGCATTGGGGGATTTTGGGGCTTTAAAAAAGAGAGAAAAAAAAGAAGAAAAAATAAAAAACGAAAAACAATGGAAAGAGCAAAAAGCTGCCTTTCGTCATCATTGGATATTAGTGATCCATGCTTCAGTCTACAAAGTGCTGCAGGTGATATGGAGCGACGACAACCAACGAAATCGTCAAGACTTGGACGAAATCAGAGTTCACAATTGATTCGCAATGGGAACATTGCGTACTATCACACCAAATCGTTTCCCTATTCCTAATGCACTCTTACGTTTATGACTTCGTATGCTCAACAAGGATCTCAACATTGAAATCTCCCTGGTAATTAAGTCCCACCGCAAGATCTTCGCCAAGAAAGCGCAGACCCCAGCATGAAGTGGATATGTGGATGCCAAGATAGATGATGGACTGGCGGTTCATCCTGTCCTGGATGCAAAACCCAAGATTTCGGACGGGATGAGCATCTCTGAGAAAGTCCTACACAACTGTTTAGCTCGCATTGCAATTTCGCTCTTATTCTCAGCACTCAACCCACTCATGGTTTATTTACTTATTCTCATATTGCACCTCACCGATCGTCTTACGTGAGATTAGTAATCACATTCAGTTCTTGGAGCAATGAGTAAAAAGGAGTCAAAGTTATGAACGAACAACAACTACAGCACTACAGTCAAGACGTGAAAGTATGGGAATTAATGAATGAGATAAAAAGGAAATAGACATAAAAAGGAAATTATTCGAAAATAAAGTGAGTAACCGAGATCCGATATGTCTCTTCCAGCCGATGCCAGTCTCATGATCATTTTATATGCAAAACTGTCCACCACGCCACATTGTAGCTCACACATCACTGCCCATGCATTTCTGTCTCTCACGAGACAGACGTCAACACAGACGCCATTCCTGGTACGTCCCACAGCAGGGCAACCTAGCCAAGAAAACCACGTGTATGTCAGGTGTGAAGCAGTAGTGCGACCAGAAAACAAAGACCGTACTACATACACGGTTGAAGGAAAAAATGAATGACAGCTGTCAACAAGTGTCTTATTTCTTGGCTTGCATTGCAGATGGAAAAGAGAGCATGTGTACAAGTTAAACTCTAGCACGATCACATAAAACTATCAAAACGCCCGTGTCAAGCTCTGCACGAAGCCTGGAAACGGTGATACAAGTCAATCTATTTTGAGTGTGTGTGTGATATGAGTATGTAGAAGGAGAACGCGACAGAATGTCCCACAGGTGAAGCACTTTGCCTGAGAACGCAATCGTGCCCAATTTTTTTCCAAGAAACAATAGGCGTAAATTCTCCGAGGTCAACAAGAGCACGAGTCAAAAAAGAAAGACTGTTTTCATTTTGTCGTGCGAGGAGAGTCTAGTGAACGAAGACGTGTATAGAAGATGTTCACGGGTGACATATCCACAAAGATTTCATTATCAAATCAAATCGACTACGATAAATGAAATTGGAATAACTATAATAAAATACATCTGAAATAAAAGGGGAAGGAACTGGCCCGAACAAGATGGCGAGACGAATGAAAAGGCTACGTGCATGTGCAGACCGCCACTCTGATTCTGATTCTAATTCTGGTTGTGATTCTAATTTTGATTCTGATTCATATTCTTCACATACTCAAAGCTGGAGCCTCATCAAACGAGAATGGGCCGGTGCGTAAAGCCATCCGGCCGCCATCGGAGCGGGTAGGGAATGTCCAGAGATAAAAGAAATAAAATAAAGAGAAAAAGTATAAAAAGCAAAGCAAAATAATAGGGAACACAACTCTAAATGATGAATGGCCATCGTAGAACAGCCCGACGGGTAGACGTAAACAAAGGCGGTCTCTTGGCAGGCTGCATTCTGCAAGAGTCAGAGGTGGGCCAATAAGAGACACTGTGCAAACAATGCTCTTGTTCCCAGCATCGTCTCCACCCCTGTCTTCCCATGTCAGATACAGCAGACTCCTGCAACTCGCAGCAGAGCGTCCTGCAGAATCGGCTGTGCGTGCATCGGGTGGAAGGTGGCCCGATGTTCTCACCACGGCGGGTGATACAACTGCAACACCAGACAGCCTGTCAGATAAACAAATGCAGCAGTTGGGTCGAAGCAAGGCGACAGACCGTCCACAGGTGGGAAATGTAAATTCTGAAAAACCGGAAGACCGAGCAGGTGCGGTCCTTTCACTTTCATTCGCGCCGGGTCCCTAATTGTCGCACATCCGGTGCCGTCGGTCGACCTATGCTTGAGTTGGAGTAACAGCGGAACACGTAACACGTCTTGTTGGTTTTATTTCTATTTTTTTTTTGTATCTGGTTGAGTCATCGTTCTCCAACAGACACGGGCCAACATAGAAGGACAGAAACAAAGATACACAAAATCACTGTTCGGGAACCGTTCGTGCTCAGAGCTTGCCACACATAGGTGGATAGGGTTTGTGTGCCATATGGCTGTGTACCGTCGTACGAACGAGTGGAGATGCGAGAGATGGAGACGGAAAGGGAGCAGAATCAAATGGGAGGAGAGAAATCGCTTAAGAAGAATATTAAAAGTACTTTCTGCTCCCTGCTCTCTGCCGTTTGTCTTTTTTGCCCGCAGGAACTGCTCAAACTACTGCCTTTTGGGAACACAAGGCCACAAGACGCAAAATAAGAGGATGGAGTAAAGCATGCTGTCACTCTCCAGCGTATATGTCATGTAACAATGCCACTGAGAGGAAAGACGAAATAAAAACAGAATAAAAAGTGAAAGTGATCCCAAACAGCAGGTGAAGCAGCAACGTACAAAAGAGATGCAGACAAAGACTCGACCAGGTGTTGCTGAAGGGAGAAGGGTAGTATCCCTTGGACTGGTGTAGTAATACGCCGTGTTCTTGTGTGTTTGTGGCGGTGTATCTCGTGTCGTTGTATGGCTCCATGTTTCGTGCGATAATATATTTTGTATATTGTGCATCGAATTGCCCCTCTTTGGGCCCAACAGCGGCCCAAGTAGTTTTTCATTTATATGTATATGATGGGCTGTCGCAGCAGGGTGGTGACGACAACAAGAGTAAAAGATTTGCGTGGGGTGAATGAAGAAATTGAGGAGGATAAACTGATGAGAAAAAGGAGTATATAAAATAAATAAATTCAAATGCAGTAAGCCATACAAAGCAATATCAAAATTAAGAATTATTCCCGCTTCCGAAGCGCCGTCCCTCCCTTTTGACGTGGCGTGTAACAATAGAAAACCAATTTGAGAGACAGAGACGCAAGACAATTAAAAAGAAAGAAACCAAAACAGTGTAACTCCCCAAGTGCTTAGGTGCTTCCTCTTTCTCCGTATTCACATACGTCCCAATGTCATTTTTGCCGCTGTGTGTCGGTTTATCGTCTTTTTTGTCACCCCAGGACCTTCCATCATCTCTGACAAGCAAGCAGACTAGAGAACAATAACAAAGAACAAACTAATCTGGCCCTCCCGTTCCAAAGACTTGCGTCTTGTCCAGTGCCATTGCACAACCAACACATCTCAAAGGGTATGAAGGCAATGAAACAAAGATGTTGAGGATGACAAACAGAAAATGAGGCGAGAGTGATACAGTAGAACAAGAAACATATAAAAAAAAAGCAGGGGCAAGCAAGGTATGGCAAGTGTACTAAGCAACTGCAGCGAGCATTGCGAACCTAACCACACGCCGTGCCACAGTAACCGCACGCCCGGCCGGGAATCACCCAGACCTCCTTACCATCCTTGGCGCACTTTGGGCAACGAACACCGGGCAGCTGCAATGTCAGACGAAGAAAACGAAAGCCATGAAATATAAGGAAATGAAAATTAACAGTAGACAAAACAAAAGAGAAGAAAGTGGACCTACCGGAACGCTGCGGATGCCTTCACTGCCGCCGGACGGGATAATGAACCGCGGGTGTGGCACGTTCGGCGAGGCGGGACTGCTTGGTAGGGGGAAGCCATCGTCTTGCATGGGCATGACGGCAAATGGGTCACATGCCATGAGCGAGGGCGAAGACGGAGAGGATGGCATGACGGTCTCGTCGTCTTGAATCGACAGCAAGAGATTGCGTGTGAAAGGCATTGTGAGGCTTGTATGTGTGTGTAGATCTGCCCACGGTGTTGCGAGTGGTCTTCTTGTCGATGTTGACGTTAGCGGAGGTAGCGGATGCGCGTTGCTTGACTGAGAGCAGGCCGTCGTAGAAGATGATAATGAATATGGCGAGAATGGCCGGCGTGTCTGTTGCTGTTGAAGTTCTATGCGGTGTTGTGGTTGTATGGGTTGTGTGGGTTGTGTGGGATGCTCCAGTTGTGCTGAAATGCCTTGGTGATGCTGTGAGAGACGACGAGATGTGTGATGATGATAGTGATGGTGACGAAAGTTGGGAGGAGGAAGAAGGGCGACTCCTTGTGTCTTTATACCCCAAGGCTGGAAGTCCATGGCCACACGAGAGAGATGGCGAAGTGCACAAGAAAGAATGAGAAGACGGATAAAAATAATGAAGTGAATACACAAGAGCGAACAGAGACACGGAAGAGCAGTTGTGCAGGTCGACGGAGCTTGCTTCCAGTGGTTTGCGAATCGGTTCGTTTCTGCCGTATTTTGATCGGTTCCTTTTTTTGGGGGGGGGGGAGAGGGGCGTGTGTTGCTCGTGGTAGGACGGCCGGTGGAAGGAAGGAAGTGAAGGGAAGGGAATGGCAAAGCCCAAGCAGAGCAGCAAAAAAAAATGATGAAGCAGGAACAGACGAGAAACGAAATATGAGGAACCGAGAGACGGAGCACAGTGCAGTCACTATGTGTGCGGTCAATTCAGTTCGACACGTTTTTCTCGTTTCTGTGGGTGAACGGCCCCGGCACGGAAAGAAGATGAACCAAACAAACCGATGGCACAAATCAAACGGATCCGAGGAAGGGGAAAAAATACAGTAAATCGATACGAAAGTATGACAGCGAACAAAGAAAACAACAAAAATGTGACAGAAATTCACGGGAACGAAGATAGAGTTGTCAAACAGTCAAACTGCCAAAACCATCGATACCGTTGAGGGCCAGATGGACGAAATATCAGGTTATCAAAGCGGAAAAGAAGAGGGCGCGGGCAGTCAGAATAAGACAACCGGAACCAGACAAAAACAGACAGGGCGCAGAGGCGAGGCGAGAGGCGGACGTGCCTGGCCGAGCGGAGACGCAGGTATCATAAGAGCACGAAAATAATAATAAAAAATGTTCACGGCCGTCACACGAGACCAAACGGAACAGGATGAAAAGGTGATGAGGAAGGGTAACGAAAGACGTGAGAGAAGTGGACTATGACAGAACGAAAGGGGGAAACAATATGAAAATGGTCAATACAAGAGCAAATGCGTACAAAGAGGCCAGAAGACAATAAAATGATATGAGGATGGGACAGGAATTGGTCGCCAAGAAATTTGCCGTTGGTGATATTCTGTAGGCAGAGGTGCGGACTTTGAACCGAGTCGATTGGGCCCAATCCAAACGAAAACAACAAAAAGTGGCGTCCGGAGGTGGAGGCGGCAATGGAAGGCCCGGAGTGTTTGTGATGTGTGGTTTGTGCGTTTGTCGCGTTCGTTTTGTTGTGTGTAGCGTTTGGTTTGTCAAGATCTGGATGTGAGTGTGTGTGTGTGGGCGTTTATTTGTATGGTGATACAAAGGCAACAGAAGATATAAAAAGAAAATCAAAACGGTGGGTGGGGTTTGAGAGCGGAGATGACGAGAGGAATGGACGAGAGCAAGGAATGGGGAAGGGAGAATAGAAATAGAAATAGAGAACGAAAAAAAGGGGGAGACGAAAAAGAATCAGAAAAAGAAAGGAAAGCCAGACTAGCATGGCTCAGAGAGACGAGGTTGAAAGACGATAAAGAAAGTGGGCATAGACGACGACAAAACGACGAGGCCAAACACTCCAGGTGCAGGTTCCACACCCTTTTCTTTTCTTTTTCTTTCTTGCTTTCGTTCGTTTGCTGTGGTATCTTGAACAGGGTTTGCTGTCGTTTTTGGTAGCCGGTTTCGTCTTATTTTCTTTTTCTTTTTCTGAGGAGACTCGGTACGTAGTGCAAGGGTCTTTCCTTATTCGTTCTCTTCTCCTTTCCTTTTTGAAGGAAAACATGAAAGGGCACGTTTGTGTCCTGTATTCTTGTTCAACACGTACAGTGGTGTTAGTGCAACAAACCTCTAACACCACTTCATTCCTGGCCAGCACTAAACTCCAAGAGGCGCTTTGAAGCTAAAGAAGGCGTCCAGTTCCGGACGCGCAAGTCAAACCCCAGGAGGAAAGCTGCCGTGGTGTCGGAGGCGATGAGGGTAAGTCACTTTACGTGGTGTGCTAACAGGGAACGTGGTAGCGGGAAAAGAAACGAAACAAAAAGGAAGAAAAAGAAATTAAAAAAAAAAGAAAGTGACGAAACATACCAATGCCACCTTATGTTTTTCTGTGCTTTTCGTTTCCTGCTTCTCTTAGAACGACACAGTGACTCTCTCCCCCTCTCGTAGTTATGTCCATTTCGAGCGCTGTTCTTTTCGTCTCTCGCCTCTCCCTCACTTCCTCATTTTCAGCCGTCGCGTCTAGTTGAACACCACCAACGACACTAGCAAGGGCAGTCATGAGAGCAAACATAATGGTCTATTGGCCGTAGCCGGCTGCAGCCACCACTCGCGCATGGACTGACGAGCCTGGTTCTTGTATTTCAATATCGCCAGAGCAAAACTTTACCCAACTGGGTGGTGCTAGAGTGCCGCAGAGTATTACCGTACTCGTTTGAACAGGGGTTCCCTGTAAGTCGACTGGTCCGTGTTGGTGGAAGAAGAAGAGTACTCCGCGACGTGCTCTTGTCGCCGCTTTCCCCTTCTTTTCTCTGGCTTCTAGGTAAGAAAGCACGAGAAACCAGATCTTCTACGCTTCGAAAAATCACCCCACAAAAAAAAAAATGCCTTGTATAACTTCTCTCTTGGAGGGCGGGAAAATACAATGTCAAGTGTGGGTAACCTCTGCGCTGGGACGTTGGGGTGTTGTAGCGGCGCGACACTACGTCGCTGACCATTTGTTTCGGCTGGGGGGAATTGGAATTGGATTTGCTGCTGGGAGTTTGGCCTAGATTCTCCTTGCGGGAGCTGTCTTAGCCGCACGCTATTTCAACTTCGGTATTGCCTCTTTCTCAGGTAGTTTCTCCTTCCCGTCTTATTTTGTGGCCAGCGTTTCGGTCGGGCCCTGTCTCTCCAGCACACAGGGCTCAAGAAGACAAAACGAGCGACGAGCATGGCAAGGATGAATAAAGCTCGGGTCTGAGGGGATAGTATCCGAGAGGCTAGAGTAAGATGTGAAGAGAGAATGGGGGCTAGTGGGGGGAAACTGCTTCCTGAGGGAACAGTAGTGGGCAATGCGGAATACCGTGACTGTACTTCGTAGGCGGAATCGGCCAAACAAACGCTTTGTGCGCCTCTCCTCCATGACGCAAGGAGACGAAGAGAGAGGGTCAACAGGGAGCGAAAGATCGACAGGCCCGCCGCACAAAATTAGTGGAAGGTGCAAGGTGGAGACGGTGATGCAAAACGTCAGCCCAGAGAAGAGAGGGGCAGCAATAAGAGGCCAAGGGCTAGTGACGGCGAGATAACCGGGAAAAGGAGGGAGAACGTATTTGCAAATTCGAGACTGTCACACTTGTCCATAGCTCAGTGTTGACTTGAGCGTTTGCCCATTGCGCCGGGGCCGCGGGATCGACGAGACCAGCCTGGCCACGGCGGGTCGATGCAATATGAATGGCGGAATCGTGACAAACAGGTGTGAATGCGAATGCTGCGCACTTAGTTCAACGAATATGTACTCAGCATGCTCCATGAAATGAGAACATCAAGTATCATGCCTTTGCTTTCTTTTCATTGGATTTTGAACCGGCTTCTAAGCGTAAGTCGTCCGAAACAGCCGTTGGCAGAAGGATTCCTTACCACGAAGACGACGGGGCGTTTGCAGAAAAGAAACGAGGTGACGAGTGACAAAACGACAGAACGTCGAAATAACAAAGGCGGTGATTAATCACAGGTGAAAATCAAACAGGCCAGGCCGGAAGGTGTCGACCCGCGCCAGGGACCACTGTTCCTGACGAACGGCGCGGAAAGGGATGACGATGGGCGGTTTCCTGCAGTTCTGCAGAAGCTGTTCTATACTCCTTCGTTTTCTTTCTTGTATTGCTTCTTTTTATTTCTTTTTCCGGTGCTCTTTGCCCTTCCGGGCATCAGTAGAGGCAAAACGGCGCGTTTGCGGAGGACTGTGAGTGGAGGTCCCGAAGAGACCGAGAGGAGATCGGCCCACCTGGTTTCGTTTTGTCTCGTTTTCTGGTTCGTGATGGGTCCTGTTCATTCAAAGAGCCATCAGCGAGATGTATCTTACTCGCGGAACATTGATTGCTGTTCGTTCTATTTTATACTGCGTCTCATGCCGCGTTTCTCCAGTTCTGAGACCACCGCTCCCTGCTTCCCATTGCTGGGATGATGTGCTGGGATAGAGGCTCCACACTATGCTTGCCAACAACCCGACCGGACGGTTGCTGGATCAGTTAGTTAGCGAAGGGGGGAGCGGTAAGGGAACTGCACAAAAATAGGAAATGGGTAGGGGCGGGATAACAAACCAAGAAAAGGCCCCTGATCGGTGACGTGACGCAGGATTTCTCAAAGCAAATTATTGTGAACGGTAATTGAAATTCCGGAATTGAGAGGCTTCGAGAGAAGATGTTCGCCGTCTTGCCGCTTTTCTGCGAATACTTAGACGGAGTAAATGGTTAGTTTTAATGAGGCGTGTGGAACAGAAAAGGAGTAAAACAGACTAAAACAAAAAGGGTTGCCTCGTGAGAGCTGACCACCTTTTTCTTTCCTTTTTCCATTCTCGTCAACTTCTTTCTTTTGTCTGTTCTCCTCCTTCAAGTCACCCTAACAAGCCTACCCCTTCACTCTGGGACTGCCGGGGTACCTTGACCCAGCATTATTGCGCTCGATGAGACTGCCGCTACTGGGAAGGATGAGGCAACAGAGCTACCTCACGTTGCAGAGACACCACTCCGACGACGTCCGACAAAACCAGAGTGGTGGTTTCGAGGCTGTTTCCACTTTCATCCGTTTGGACGAGTTCCGCGAGCCAGGCTCTGTTGTTGTGTGGCTCCGTTGTTTGCTCACCGTCGCCTGACGTTCTGTTTACAAACAAGTTGCTTGCAGTTCTGCCACTTGCTTGGTATTTTATCACTCTTGTTCAGGGACATCTTCCACTTTATTATCGTGCGTTTGCGAGCTGGTACTTGCTGCCGTTTGCTCTGCTTTGCCGTTGCGGCGTTTGTTGTTTGACGCAGTTGGCCGTCGGGAGGTCGTCTGCGGATCAATTGGCATTGCGTCGTTGGTTCTAGTGGCCTTCTTTCACTCTGAGAAGGAATGAGGACAAGCTCTGTTCTCTTGGACGATGGTTTGTAAGACAACCGGTGTGGTGTGATCCGTGGATATGGATGTCTGCACAGGGGTTGAATTAAAATAAAAAAAGAGCGACAGCAGAGGGACGAAAAAGGAAAGAAAAGTGTTTGACACAAGGTGGTCGGCGTTCTCCGTACGGGCGGTCCCAAGTGGACACCTGTGTTAGTGAATGTGGGATGAGCAAAAACATATTTCGTAACTTACACCCTTGTCGTGCCGTCTTTTGACTCTCCCCGGCCAGGCCACACGTGATGAATAGTGTATGCTTGCGGCCCGTTCTAGCACGGTTCCTTTCCCTGATGCACTTTTCTTTTCTTGTCGCGCCTGGAGCTTTGACCTTTGCAAAGATCCTCTTGGGTCGAATTCTAGTCTTTCATTGGTTTCACCGCACCCCCTGTTGTGACTAAGTTCCTGCAGATGTAGTCGTATTCGTGCATTCAAGACGACAGCTCATAACATCGGGCTATGGCGGGTAACAGAAAAGAAACACAGCGATGCCGCAAAATGAAACGAAGCGTTCCAATAAAAAGAGAGAAACGAAGAATGCGACCCTCCCTCAGCAGCCCCTGCCCCTCTCATATCCGTGTTTCTGCAATGACCTCGACGCGACAACGCTCACTTGTCTCCGGAGAGATAGCCACGAGGCGGAGGTGGAGGGGGGGAGGATCGAGGATCGGAGGATTGATGGCATTGAAAGAGCTCAAAAACAATAACAGAACAACAAACACAAACGACAAAAGTCATGTGCTCCGTGACTGTGAGACAACGCGAAACCCACGTTCGCATTTGGCAAGACCCGAGGCCGCTCCTTCCCTCCGTAGCATGACGACCTCCTTCCACCCCTATCACCTATTACATAGTGCGGATCCGGTCCTTCCTAACCTGTCCAACATCGTGCTTCCTTCTACACCTACACAGTAAATTAAGCTTTTTTATTTTCAGGCGTTTCTTCCCCTCACTTTTGCTCGCTCCCACCGGAGACGTCGACTCCGCTTGCATGCCCAGCCGCAAACACAGTGGACCGCCGTACTGCATCACCCGCGCTATTTTAGCACCGGCAGGCGGCCCTTTTCCCGGCAGCTGCATGCCGACCAGTCTGGTGCGGCGTCCGAGGCCTGCCTGGTCAATCAGATGACCCGACCATATTGCAGGCAGGGGTGTTGCGGTCGTTCTTGCCAGTCGCGAGCTAGTGTCCAACACAGGTCCTGAGGACCAAGTGCTGGGGAAGCTGGGAAGGTGCAATGGACGACCGTAAGTGGAAACAAAAACAGACAAGAAAAAGGAAAGAGCGGCTGGCACAGCAAGCGACAATGGCCTTGGCAGCATGTTCATTCACAATGCCGAGATCCCAAGCGAGGTGTGCCAACCGCTAAAGCTTCTTTTTTCCGTCCTCCATCGTACGGCGCCGTCGCATCCAGAACGCAAACTTCCACGCATGCAGCCAGTCCTGCTCCCCCTTGTCCCCACACCCATTGTGATAATGCGGCTTTCCTTAGCGAGACCGCGAGCTTTTGTCGGCCATATGCCTTTTTCACCCTCGCCTGTCATGCTGTTTTGCAAAAATGGCATGCCCCTTGTTCCCTGTCAGCTTTCAGCTGCCACGACCTACTGTGTATCTCTCATGCGATGACGCATGCTCCTCCCATGCTCCTCCCCATGCTCGCATTTGTTCAACGGCTGATGGTGCTGCTGGGGCTCGATGTGCTGCCCTTTGTTGTTATTTTTCAGCTTGCATAATGTCTCGGTCACCTGTTGCCGACACTCAGCTGAAAGGACATCGAGGGGGACAGGAGATGAATGGCTGACGGACACACCATGCACAATCTCCAGTATGCACCATATCGAGACATGCAATACGACCTTCCAGCTCGAATACGACCGCAGGAGCATTGCAGTACCACTGCGCCATGAACCAGGTTCACGGTGACCGCACGGCCGCTCGCGGGAGTCCCGACCCAGCGGCCTGTTGGCATCTCGCGCATTGGACGTCGACCACACCTACCCAACTTTTGTCAGGCGGCACTCGAATGATCTCTCCTGTGCCCATAGCTTCATTGGCTGCCCTCCGCCCCTCGTCTCGAGTCCCATTTGGCCCCCGACGGCCCCCTCGTGGCTTGCCACCTCCTCCCACTTCATTCGGTAAAGCCCCATTACGAACGGTTGTTTTGTGGCTCAAATAGGGGGTAGGATCCCGTTGCTCGTCCCGGAAGGCAACACACGGGCCAGGCCCAGGTGCCAGGTGTCAGGTGCCAGTGCTGCTGCCCAGGCTGCTGTGGATGCACAATGTACTCAGAGCCTCTCAGAAGAGCTGCATACCAAGGATCCGGGTGACTGCTTCAAATGGTCGCTCTCAATGCATAGTTTGCCCCAGTAAAATATCTTACCCCAAACTCCCTTTTTGAATGAAAGGTATCATCGGTGCAATTTTGTTTCCGTAGCGGAAATATGCAAGTGGTTCAGAAAGGAAAGGCTCGACACGGACAACTAGTCCGTGTTCATGGTCCCCGATTAACAGGTATTGTGAACTTTGTGAGCCTGGCCCCATACGGAAGTACTCCGTAATTGCAACCGCAAGGGTCCGTAACATTTGAATGCGTTTGAACAACTGGCGTGTAAGACCTGGAAAACGACAACAAACAGCAACAAACGAAAACGAAGACGACATCACAAAGGAAACCAGCGTGAAGATCACTTGACGTAAGGGTTTTGACAGTGTACGTGACCCTGTGGGCCATCCATTTCCGCCAGGCGCACAACTGTGTGGGTACTCTGCACATCGTCGCCGTGAACACAAATACTTTGCGCCCTGCGGCAGGAATAGTGATTGCAAATCGCAAAAGGCGCAAAAGCACGGCGCTTAAAATGGCACGAAGGAAGCGAGATAATGACAAATGTTGCCCCGGCGCCGAAAATATCGACGAAATCAACAGAAAGAACCTCGAGATTTCACCACACGAGAAACCCTTCGTTCTGCCGAGCATGTCTCACGATGCAATCCGACTACCACATTTGCCCTCGACACAACGGGGCACGGAGAAACGTAACGCTCCACTCGAACGGTTTCGAAGGCCAAGATAAAAAGAGAAAACGCGATGTCACCGAAACGAAACAAGGCACGAGTGGGACTAAATGGACGAAACACACAAAACAAAATATAATAAAACACAAAATGCTTTGTTCCCGCTCTTTTAGGTTGTGCTTGCATGATCTTGATCGCCCTGTGCGTCGTGTGCTTTCGTGCGCTCCGTGCACAGTTTCCCCCAACCGTGCCCTGGGTGCCGGGATTTTGTGTCGGGACTTGTGTAATAGGCAACTGTCATCCTATCGTCCTGTCAACCTGACTTTTTACGCAAACGATTTGCCTGCCTTTTCGGGCGTACGTTGAAATGGACAGACCGACAAGCAACGCATCAAATCATAGTCGGCAGATACAACACCGTACTCTCCTCCAAGTCAAATACTCGAGCACCATGGGATTGTTAGGGATAAGCCGCCGAGAAATCGACGAGCGGTGGCCGATTTTGCTCTGTGCTTTTAGGCTAGTGATGTGGTGATACTTGTGGTGATACTCGGTATGAGCTGCATTACTTGGCAGGATGTTCCAAGACACCCACCATACCAAAGTCAGAGGCTCGTAACCCACTCGCGCAGTTGGCCGTACTCCGTTGTGTTATTGCTGTTTTGATCATATCGTTCGTCTTATTTGGTGGGGCGATCCCGCATCGCCGACCTCTCCCCCGTACCATATTTGCTCGCTATTTTACACAACGGATCTAAGGAGGGTCCGAGGGGGGCTTTTCGATAAGACGGACCTGATGGGCCTCATGGAACGAACAGATAGGTCCCAATGCGCCTCCAGGTGTGACAGGGAGGTGATTGTGAAGACACAGCAGCAGAAGAGGCGGCGAATCTGACGATCTTGTGCAAATGCGGCAAGCAACGTAAGATAGAGGGGGCGTGTAGACTGGCACAATGCGTCCGTCGGAGGTATTGTATGGAAGAGGGAAAAAAGATGACAAAATCGCAACAAGTACGAAGTCCAGGAGGACACCACGCGCACTCCTGCCTCAGCCGCGCTTTCCTTTCCTCGCCGCGTTCTTTCCTTGGTTTTTGCGCACTTGCCTATTGTCAGTCCATCCCCCTCGCGCTTTCCGCCACGGGCCCGCTTGGGGACATCGCACAATTAGCGCCATTGCAAGGGTGGAAGGAGCCATCACAGGATGGGGTCGACTCCGTACGATGTTCCCAGTTCCTCCGTTTCTGCATTGGCGATCGCTGTTACTTTGCCCTTTGGTTTAACTCTTTCGTCTTTTCGTCGAGACAACAGCCCAGCGTCGCCCACTCTGTGACGGGAAACGACAAATACAAGCAGGCTAATAAGCTATCCAGCCTGAGCGGCAACAAACAGAGCCGGCCTTCGGGCTCCACCGGAACTTCGTGCCATTGGTGCTGTGGGCACTGCCCACCATCGTGAGGCCGCTACAGGCGAGACAAGACGAGACAAAACAAGCAAAACCCCGAGCCAAGGGCAGAGGGCGAGACAATACGAGACAAAGCTAACGGCGTCGGACGAACCCAAGGCGTTACCGACCTATCGAAGAAACGGAGCTGAGAGGCGGGGGATTCAGAAAGGTGGACGGCCCACCGAAAGCAAACCCAGCAAGAGGACTGCCCATCAAGCACAGGATGTATTTCAGCGTCGACTGGGACCATGCGGATTTGATGCACATTTTTGACCTAGGTCAGTTGGCGGAGTCGACCCAGAACCCCAAACGACCTTGGGATCTGCCTCTGCCATTGGTCCCGGAAAGAAATAAGAAGAGGACTAAGGCAGGGCTCAGACCCGCAGCGCAAATGCCCAAAGAAGCAAACGGGGTGTCCTTAGCAGCCCCAGTGATCGGCGACCCGCCGTGTGCCTGCCCGTATCCATATCCTGGGCGCTGGGTTTGGGACGGGATGATGTGCAACAAGCTGGTCCTGATCCTGGTCTTGGTCCAGGTCCTACGAAGTTGTTTCTGGTACGGTCTCCGAGGGTCTCCATTGTATTACGTCGTCGTCGTCTTACGCCGTTCTTGCGTCGACACCGCAGGACAGATGCAGCTTGCAAGACTCAAACAACCAGATGCGCCATCCATGCTCCGTCGCTGTTTGCTGTTCAACCCTCGACGGTCCAAATCTGCAAATGACACGAAAGGACGAGACGAAACAATGGGACCGAAAGGACGCCCATCGCTGCATTTAGCGTAAGTGCATTGTCCTCGGTTTTCATGTTCGCGCCACATTGTGATATATCACTTTTTGTCGCTTTTGGACCTTCAGGTTTTGTCGTCGACCGTAGCACCCGCCTTCAGCCCCCCCTCTTATGCCCCTTCTCACTTATCCCGTTTGCACGTCGTGCATCGTACGGGCTTCCCAAGGCCGCTACTTTTGTTCCATGCTATCCTTGTCTTGTCGATCGACTGGCCATTCACGATGCTCATGTCGTCTAGGCCGTGCAGGAAGCTGCAGCAGCGCCGTCCAGAAAAATGTCAAGGTTTTCGATGCGGCGCCCAATTAAGTCACTGATCAATAAGACAAGAAGACAACGAGGGGCAATGGATGCCACACAGACGACGTCCGAGGAAAAGGAAACAAGAAAGCAAAAGCCTACCGTACACCAAGAAAATTGACAGGACACGACCATACATGAGCAGAGCGACATCGAATCACTAGTCCAAACGACAGAAGTGCACAAACAGGGATCAAGGCACCGAAAGATGATCGAGGGTGCAGAGAGCCCCTCTCCTGACAGATGTCTTTTCGGATCTTTTATGTCATGGCTTCGTGCATTCATCGAGCAGAAGCGATATCAGCTGCGAATTATGCCATAGTCGCATTTTAGGGCACATGGACTCGCAGAGCAACATGAACCGACGACAAAGCCACAAATCTGACAGCATTGACCCTCGATTTTTCCTTGTGCTGTATCACGCCGTGAGATGATACGGATGCCTTGCTAACGATTAATGATGCTTGTCCTACCGTCCGCCTACAACAAGGGCAAGATCGGCGCTTTCCTTCTGCGACGCTCGGAGGCGCACCAGAACACAACCGCCTTGGTACATCTTGGACACATGTGGCCAATCAACCTGGCCTGCATGCATATATGCACGCCCTGGGATGCAATGTACGCTCATTCCAGACCAGTGGTGTTGGCAGAGTGCCATCCGAGACACCCTCCGTTGACTCCCATGTCTTTTCGCTTTTTCACACCTCGATTCCACCATTCCCCCTGTTCATGTCGGTAAGGCTAGCCGTGACACGAATCAATGCAGAATCGCCGAGATTGGATCAAGGTCCGCACATCATAGCGGCGAGGCCGGACCTTGGGGTAAGCAAGCAGGAAAGTGAGACCAAGACATATAGAACGGCGTTGGAATGTCAGCCTTGAGATGTCTCGCTGTGAAACGAAACAGAACAAAAAGAAAGACAAGAACGAAAAGAACGAAAAAGAAAGAAAAAGAGAAAAGAGAGTGAAATCACGGGCGCCGAAAGAACGGGAGAATTTTTTTTTAAAAAAAAAAGAGAACATCAGTGGGATTACGAGGACCGACGTCCCAAATGTTGGAGGACTAATGAATGGATGATGTGAAATTCAAGGAAGAGGAAAAGAATGACGATCGCCGGCAACGACCACCCAAAGTGGCATGCCGTGAGAGGCCCCAACCTCTTGGGAACAGAAGCCACACACATTTCGAATACCGGTGTGCGGAAAAGAAAACATAATACGACGTGTGAGGGGGATATGTGAAAGTACGGGTGTGGTAGCGCGCCCAAGGTGAGCAAATGAATATGTTGAGTATGTTGAACAAGCTGATAGACAAAGCATCTTTTGCTAGAACATTGAGCTACCTGATCCCAGGCATGTCTTGTATGCTCCTTTGTAATGCCTTTTCTTTTCCTATTCTCTCGCTTCCCGTGGATTTCATCTTCGGAATGTTCGCGGATGTCCTTTTTTGGCAAAGAGAAGCAGAAAGACAGAAAACGATCGTGGCCGTGAAACAAAAATGAAGTGGAGATAGAACCAGAACGAATGGGACCTGCGAGAACAAAAATGTTATTTCAGGCCCCCTCCCCCAGTCACTGCAGCCCGCCTTCACCTCCCTCTCGTCAGCGTCCTCACTGCAACCCTCCTGTTTCCACTGTCCCGCTTTGTTTTCCGAGGACGCAAGGAAAGGTGTCGAATGGCACCCTGTCAAGGAGTCATTTTCGGCTTTGTGCCCCAGTTTTTTGTTTCCAAGGCCACGGTATCTTTCCAACTAGATGGGAAAGGAGGCACGATGTACATGTACGCCGAAACAAAGGGGCTGCCAGCAAAAGAGGAGCCAGATGAAAGGAGGAAACAAAGGCTGCCTGATCGAGTACGACGCACGGCTTCGGCACTTCGAGTGCAGAACGAGGAGACGAAGACACTGCTACTGTTTACAGCGCAATGTAAGATACAACTATCAAGTACCGGTGGCTTGAAAGTAGAAAAATGGCACAGGCACAAGCACCAACACGGACATGCTTGTCTCGGAGGCGAAGCCACGGTGGTTCTCTACCACATGCAGAATACAGCCAATGAAACTATAGATAGCCTTGGAAAGGCTTTTTATCTTGAGGAGCCGCCGTATGCGGTCGTGATGAAGTTTCAAATCGAGCCTGTATGAGGCCTTTTTAGGTTAGTGCATGCAGGAGAGTGACAACTCTCGGTACAATGTCTGGAAAGCCTCGTCACACCAGCAGACATTGACTCCGGATATTCGGAGCAAAATGCAACACAATCGCGCAGTACAACCTTGACACATGTTTTGATGGGCATGTCAAGACGAGAAATGTGAGATACCCTGTCATACTCGTTAACGAGGAAGGAGGAGATATGATGGTGGCCATGGAGACCTATGGGTTACTGGTCGGATGAACGGCTATGTGTGTGTGCAGCCTGCGCCGGATGTTGCACTGCAATAAATAGCACTCGAGGTAAGTGGCGTCAAGATGCAACATGGATGAGCGGCATGGATAATAAAAGCTGCAGACAAGAGGCCGTTCTCAAGAACCTCGGCTGCGCTTCGTTTGTAGTGGTGTTGTTGGTCTGATTGTACTGCACAGTAGGTAGCCTGTGGAACTGCTTCTTTGACATCTTCCACGGTGCTTCGTATGTGTCCGCTCTCTCGAAGAGACGAAAAAAATAAACAAAACAATAGCTTATATTGTACGGTGGTATCAAAAGTTCGGTTCTGTCCTTATAAAACGACACCCTTAACAAAGTAAACAAAACACTGCGTGGCAGTCGAGAATATCTGAAAACGCCCAGTATGTCTTTTTGTCCAAAAAGAGATGTCCAAGAAGGTACCCAGAAAAGAACAGCAAACTAAACAAAAGAAAAGGCAGTCGTCGCAGCTGTGTGTAAATCAAGCCAGCAGGGAAATAAGCCGCTATCGCACGAGCTTCTCAATCCGCACCAGCAGCTTACCCTCTGTCGGGTGGCCGCGGGCATCCATCAGGCTGACGAAGCGGTAGCCCGTCCGGAGCCGGTCAAGACGGATACAGGTCCATCCGGCCAGTGTGTCGTTTCGTCCGAGAGCGGCTAGCTTGGCACGTTCCTGTGTGTTTTTCGAACCCTCGTCCTCGACACAGAACCTAGAACGCAGTTGTTAGCAGATGTTGACTCACCTCACAAGAACTGGTTACACATGAGAGGTTGTGGGGGCGCGATACGTACGATACAAAGCTCAGCGACTCGACGATGCCTGTAATATTTCGGAAGCGCAGCGTCTCGCCCTGCACGCCCCAATCTGGGTGGTCGGTCTCACCGGGCGACGTCTTCTGCTTGAGAACAGCCTCAGGGAGTTGCACCTGTGAGGCGGCCAGCTTGAGTGCCGCGGCCGCGGCCGGCGACCCTGTTGCTGTTGTCGCCGCCTGGGACGCGCTCACAGCCGTGGCGACGGATGAGGCGCGTCTTGTGATGGGCTTCGGCGGTGTTGACGAGTGCGACAGTGGGTGCGACGTAGCCGCCCCAACCGTCTCTGGACAGCGCTCCTCGTGGTGCTCCACATTCAGCTCACACTTGACTACTGGCTGGAAGTGTGCATGCCCACGTCCCGTGACCACACCGGCTGTGGACGATGTTTTGTTGGCCACGCCGCCAAGCTTTTTTTTCTGCTTCCTTTGGAATGCTGGCGGCAACGGCAGATGCTGACCGGCGTAGATGGTGATGTAAAGGTCAATGGTCTGGACTGGCTCGGCCGTGCCAACAGGGCAGATCTTGGATCTCAAGCCGATATTGGGGTTCGGACTTGATATTGGTGTTTTTGTCGTCCGTGGGGTCATATTGATAGGCGTTGCGATGGCACTGTCACCAGCGACACTGCTAGCAGCAGTGCCCGTAGCTGTGGGCGCGCCGCGGTAACCGGGCGGCTTCAGGACCCAGCCGTTGGATCCTTCGAACATGCCGTGATTCAGCATCATCGCCTTGTCCAATGTTTGCCAGTTGAGAGCCACCATTTGCACGCCACGACGCCAGCAGCAAGCCGGATCAGGATTGGAGCTTGTGACGTGCTTCGTCGCGTTCGGATAGGCCCGCATCATGTACTTCTTGTTGTGCAAGAATAGTTCTTCGTGGTTCTTGAGGTGCAGTGCTTGGATGGTCGTTTCGCTGAGGCTGAAGATGTGCGACGGCAGCTTTGCATCCCGATTGGAGAAGGAGTGGTAGTGGCGGCTTTCTGTATAAACAGCGAGGTTGCCCAGTTCCTCAGTGATGCGAGAGTTTTTGGTGGCGGCCACGTTAACATTTGTCGATGACAAGTCGTCCTCGGAACCTGATGTGCCACCGCTGTTATCCATTGTAGACATGACCGTCAGTGATGCGCCGAGGCCGAGCCCTTGCAAGCTGGCTGTGTTGTTTGTTCCAGCCGATGTCCATTGTGGTGTGTAAGGTTTCTTCACCTTGACGAGGATCTTATTCTGAAGCTCACCCAGTGTGGGGAGCCGCAGGCGCGGATCAGTCCCTTCCAGGGCCTGGTCTAGAAGGAACTCGCCCCATTCCTCTTTCATGATTTTAACCATTTTTCTCTGCTGCACGGCGTTTGTGTGTACCTCGAGGCTCACGATGACGGGCAGCGTGTTGGTTCGAAAGGCGGTGTGGCGAACAGCCCTGCACACGTCACGGAAAGGAACGTGCGTCCCCAGCGTCCAGTCGCTGTAGAGGATGTTGTGCGCGTGCATGACAACAGGCTCGTCGTCACCGGTCGCTTCAATGCTGTCTGGCACCTCTGCCGGTATGGCAATCTCGGTGTCGGGTGCTGTAACCGAAATCGTGGCAATGGTGGGCTCAGACGGATCCTGTGACGTCTGTGGTGTTTCTGAACCGTCTCCAGCCGACGAGGCATCATGCGTCTCGTTACCCTCATCGTCCCCGTCAATAGCCTCCTCCGGGACAAGCGTGCTGTCACGTTCCTTGAGCTTGGCCAGCGCATCCCGTTCTAGGGCGTTGGAGCATGGTGGTCCACCGTCACTGTCGGCATTTTCGATATGGGTGGGCGCAGTGATGCTCTGCTGGCTGAAACTCGACGCACGGCTTCGCGAGATTTTCGTCGCGAGCAAATTTGAGATGGCCTCGAAGCTTTCGTGTATAGACGTGGCCACAGAGCTCGATGAAAGATGACGGCGGTGACTTGACGGCTTGTTGGCGGTCTTACGGCCGGTGGTCTGTCGGCTGGCTTTTGTCGGCGGGTTCCAGACGTCAATCTCAATACAACGGCAGTTGTTTTCAAGGACCTATAAACGCCGTTAGCAATGGGTTCGTACTATTGTACAGCTGTGGAGTGTGTAAAAAGCAAAAAAGAAGTTCTCTTGGTAACCTTTTGATACTCGCCGACAGACGCCTCAGACGAAAGCTGGTTGCCGACCAGATACGTGTTGTGGCTGCTGCTGATAAAGTAGTGCGAGATGGGAAACGATAGATCTAACACCTCGGCCACTTGCGGTGGCCGCGCAGCGGCCCAGCCATACTGGTAGCACCAGACCTCGAGGAACTCTTCAAACTTGTACCGTTCTTTCTCTAGAGGCACAGCCAGCGTTTCACCCTGTGTATCCTCAAAGAAGCGAGCCAGCTGCCGTCGCGAGAGCGACGGGGAAGACACCAAGACGGCTGGAAGGGCTTTGTAAAACGTCGGCGAGCGACCGCAAAGCTCGCGGAAGATGTGTTCGAGACGCGCGAGGGTCGTATCGCCGAGAGAAATAACCGGGCTGTTTGGATAGGCCTCCGTTGCGTCGGCGAGGTCTTTGGTCGTCACGACCAGCCGCCGTTTATGGTGGCCATTGTGGGTGGGCGATATGAGGGTGGTTGTGTCGACGAGCAGGCGCAGGACGTTTCGGCCGCCTGGCCGGTTGTCAGGTACGGGTGGTTTGGCAGACGAGCGACGGCTGTGCTGCCGAATCTGACAAGAGAAAAACACGTTAGTGTACAAAGAATGCAGGAGACGTTTTTTGTTTGGGGGCTAGTCACGAACAGAGAAGCACATCGCAGCCGAGTATGAGCCCGAGCCCCTAGGGCCGGCGCGGACGCGGGAGCGCTGTCAATTCCGAGCCGGGCCGCTGTGCCCAAGCAAAAGAAAACAAAGCAAGGTTGAACGACCGTTGATCGGTGTGAGTTTCACAGCCGCGACGCCTTATGTTGGGTTTTGTTGCGTTTTGCCGGGTCTCTGGATCGGGGGCGTGCTTGGTAATCCGTGCAGCAAATCGCAGGCAATTCGGCGAGGAGAAAGTCGTGACGGCCGTCGAGAGTTAGTACGTGTTGTCGTTTGCGTATAGATAGACAAGGAGGGCGTTTGTCGAGTGCAAACGATGCAGACAAGATGTTGTGGACAGATGGAAAGGCAGGGGAAGAAAAACGTCGCGAGATGAAGAAGAGGAAGGATAGTAGGCCAAAGAAAATGTGGAGTAGGAGCGATGGAACTCGAAGACGATTTCTCGAAGGAGGGAAAGCTAAATGGAAGGAAGGAACGAATCAGAGTAGCCGGTCGCGCTTTCTACCTTTCTGCATGTCTTTGACTTCTATTTCATCCCTCGTGCCTTCCGTTATTTTTGCTTCATCAACAAGAGTTCGTTAGGGCTGGATCTGGTCTTGCATCGTCTTCCTCACAGCCTCGACGCCTCGCATGCATGGACCGAAACAATGGACCCAATAGAATGAGTGCAGCCCTACGCTCGGTCGCGTAGGGCAAATAGGGGAGCGCGCTGCTAGTGGTTACAGCTAATTGCCTGGCGGAGCACAACCACAACGTGGGCTTCGTAAAGTTGGAAAGAGCCACCGAACAGCAACGTAGTTCTGGAGACGCCCTAGAAAGCACCTAATTGACAATGACCTGGGAGGGAAAGTGCGAACGAGTAGCACGGCTGCGCGTGTTTGGTGAGGAACAAAAACTGGCAGGCGTTAGAGCCTCAATAGTTGCAGATCCACGCCGAAAATGGAAGGCACGGCCGGCATGCCCAGAAGGCTGCGCCTCACCAGGTGCTTGTCTGCCGCAAAAAAATAAAACGGAAAATGAGGGCGACGGCAAACAACAAACGAAAAATATAATCCGTTAATGAATAAAAATAACGAGGACGAATGAAATAAAAGCGATGCTTTACCAATGGTCGGTCGGTAGCCATTTGTGACAATGAAATCGTGGCGATGAGGCTCTCGGGGCATTTCATTTGTTTTGACAGGTGCGATGGGCCAATGACGTAGGGCGCCTGCGACGGATTCAATAGCCTTTTTGATAGCAAACCGCTTTAGTGCGCTAAGCTTTCACTGTCAAGGCAGTTGGCGGCGGCCAGGCCCGCATAACGCCGGCCAACCTAATTAGCACTATTGCAGTTCTAGCCTTTCTATCCTGCTTTTGAGTAGGTATCTTAGTACCTCTGGGGATTAGTAATTGCCAGACCGACAAGGCATGCGAACCGCCTTGGTTGCCTTGAGACAACCACACCGGCCTGCGCAAGGCGTTCACGGCTTCGGGCGCTCAAACTTGCAACCGCCACATTCTATATTGCCACCTACTCATTGACACAATGTCGAAGTCATCCGAGGATAGAGAGGCCGAAGTGCGGTCGTGGGGCTTTGCCCACGTCTTTACTTGGACGGATGGACCGTGAGTGGGATGCCCTGCAAATATCTCCCATCCACTGAGTCTCGTCCAGGGACTGACCGAATATCTAGAAACTCCTACTACCGGCCGCACAAGCACGCCGGCCCCACCACACGTCTCATCCTACGCGGCCAGTTGACAATTGCCTATCCAGACGCCCCTGGTGCCGCAACAAAGACCACACTTGGAGTCGGTGATCGATGGGATGTACCTGCGGGCATGAGCCACGAAGTCTGGGTTGGGCCGGAAGGCTGCACATATGTCATTGGCGAATAGATGTGCCAGGAGGCAGCAGTGGCTGCTACGACAGGAATGCCGTTAGTTTGAATGCAGGCACAGTTTTTTGTATTAGCAGATGCGTCGGTGAGGGGTCGAGTCAAAGTGTTTCGGGGCTATGGTCGGTCTACACAGCCGTTTTTGTACTTCTTACCATATATTGTCCGCGTACGACATGACTGAGAGCAAGAAGCTCTTCAAACAGCGTGGGAGGGCCTCAACATATATCGGACATGCCACAGCATTGGGCAGCCTAGATTTGCTTTGACGGCAGCACATTAACTGGTTGAGATGCTGACGGGCACGGCGACTATGAATAGATGTCTCACATTATGATCTCATAATCGCAAGACAGGCCGTCAACCGACTGTGCATAATTGATTACGGTATGAAGTACTTATCTATTGACCTCCAGTTCTGGATTGTCTATATTTACTATCCCGGGTTTGAAAGAAAAGAATAACGTGAAGGTGCCCGGAAGCGGGTATGTTTTGCATCCGCTACCAGACATCTGTTGTTCCCATTCTGGAGCTATGCCATTTTGCAGCATCAAATTTGCTCTGGGCACAGGCTACCCGGCTATCAGATGTAATACGGCAATGTGAACGGCCTCAATTGTTGATTAGGCCGTATTATGTTCTAGTCTTTTCTATCACTTTTTGCTATCTTTTGTCAAGACGCCGGGGTGGGTAAGGGAAAAGAAAATGGGGTTGAAAAAGGTGGTTGATGCGCGAAGGATGATAAAACAACGGGAAGCAAGTTCAGACGAAGTCAAACAACAAAAAAAAACATGTTTGGCGGCGTTACTTTTATTTATTTTGACCCATTTCAAGCAAATTTCCAGCTCCGTAAAACGAGCCTTGAAGATGATTGTCGTTCCCCTTGCAACGAAGCTGCCGAGAACAGTAAACTCTGAGTAGGGGAAACCCATGGATACGACAGTGTATCCATCTGCAAACCGAGCATCAATTTAACTCAAAATCAACACAATTCTCCACAAGGGGAACGGGTCTTGTTGCATCCGGGGGCGGGGAAGAAGGGCCAAGACCGGACCGCGTGGTTTGAGTGGCAGACAAAAATGTCCCCCTAATTGTGAGTCCGAAACAAGAAACGCATAAAACTGACGAAGGTGTCGCAGAAGTCCCTTTTTGGCAAAAATCGAGAGACGTTGCTTCGCGCAAGACAAATCTGGTGAATGCGCTCCGTGCAATCCCTGCTGAAAAGGCTGGAGGGGATTGCGTTTCAATCGGCAAAAGTCGACGCCGCGTGACGACTTCACTTGTTTGAGCACTCTCATACAGTCTGCCAATGAAGATCTAAAATGGTAACGTACATCAATTACGATCGTGCGTCGTAATCATTAACCGAATCGAGACGGAACAGTGTCTGCTTGATACATATTGTGACCGCTGACCACAACTCCATCTGTGGTGTCTCCGGCCTCTTGATCTGTGTTGTTTCCGAGGAGCCAGACGAATTGCAGCCGATGCCCTTGCCATGTCCGTCAGCCGGGGCTTGTGTACACTTACAGTATGTTGTACTTCAAGTATGACTAGAGTATAGAGTATAGAAAATGGTTGCATCGCACATCTTCGTGGAGTTCCGAGTGCAACAGGGTCACGATACACTTACCTTTGCTTCTGTTATTTTTGGAGTTTACACATGCATTCGTTCATCTCACTTTATTTTGATGTCTCAACCTTGGCAGAGTTCATGCTTTCGGAATGTAACTTTGATCAACCGATCAGAATTCATGAAAGACAAATGCACCTTGAGGAGTAGATACAAGATCAATTTCAGTGTGGTTGAGAGCTGCAAACAAAACACTCGACTGTAGTGTCAACCAAGCTGATCAGCATATGGTGCGTTACACGATTGTCTTTGATTTTATTTGCTTCTGCTGAATCACCCTCGTGTCCTACTTGATCTTGACTCATAAAGCATGGGCCGGCCGTCTAAGACATAAATTGTCTCTGGGTGTACCACGGCGGACATCTAGCCTGAGGAACGTTGAGGTGCGCGTGTTTGACTTGTTATTCAATAATTGCGATGAGGCGGAACTTCTGCAATCAATCCCTTTTCCTGCTGAGCGTCTACGTTGCACAAAGTACTTTGATTGGATCGAGCAAATTTATGGAGCAAAGCAAGACAATCCACGGAAATCCTCCTTCATTCCCGGTTTATTTCATATCGCATCAAGACAAAAGCGAGACGGAAAAGGACCAGCGCTGACCATTCTGGTTGTGCATCCCGTAGGAATATGAGAAATTGGCAGCTTACTCTGGTCAATTTGCTGCTGTGCTGCATGGATGTTGGATCCTACGCCCTGCAGGGGGCATCGAGACAGCTACCCAATGCCAGTATCGTGCCCACCAATGACTGGCTGGGCTTCTTGCATTGGGGCTCAGCAACGCATCGAGCACATCCACGCAGGAAATGGACTTTTGCTCTCTCTGTGGGTGGTGGTCTTTGAAGGTCCCTCAACCTTCTCCTGGAAACATCCACGCAAGGATTCTTTGATGTGTGCTAGGATGCCGCTTTCGAAATGAGAAATAAATCACTGAACGGCGACCATCCCGATACCACGCTACAGAGACGCTACCGGCGACGAAGCTGGCTCAACGGCAATAGGGTGCACGCTCGCGGGCTTCCGGGAGCAGGGGCTAAAGGGCGCAGGCCCTCGACACTTTATTTTCCGCACTTTTATGTCCCAAAGACGTGTATGCACCTTACCCACAAGTGATACGGATAATCCAGCGTCGTATCACATCAACAACCTCATTTCATTAGCAAATACTGTTTTTAGAAATTTGTTTGCTGGGAGCTTGACCTTGTCTTCTGTACTTCGTACGATTGGCCTATGTCGCTGACCGCTCTACACATAAGTACAATGTACGAGTAAGTCCACCTGCCAGGGCAGGGCATCGTCCGCTCTTCGCCTGTCACATTTCTTCTCCGCTCGTAGTTCTTCGCCGGGACCGACAGGGCAGATTAAAATGCCGTACGAGCCAAGGCTGGCCGAATGGACCCTGAGCCTAGTTCCGTTGTTCGTATTGTATGGGCGTTTTCTTCAGGCATCTGCCCCATCTGCTCACACCATCTCCATATTTCCCTTTTGTATCATTTTTACCGTATTTTCCGTACCCCGTACTCCGTACTTTCCACGTCAGCCGCCTTTTCCTTCTTTTTCTTTATTTCGGAAAGCGTAAGAATTGTGTGCGATGTACGGAAATGCGTGAGAGCTGCAGCTCAAATGAGCCTCTCATCCTGCAATGGCGAATATGGTCTAGTACTCCTTTCTCGTTGCTTCCTTCCACCTTAGCGTTGCTCTCAAGCTTACGCCGCCCTCATATGCTCTTGTCTCCTGTCCAGCCAAAACTAAATAGAAAAAGCCAATCGTTGACGGCCACCTTTTGAAGGTCTGAAACGCGTCCGTCCAGCCGCCCCAAACGGCCGTGGCGGTCTGGCCACTCATTTTGCCGCTTCCTTTTCTTGCTTGATTCATGGCTTTGCGATCGGTATTCCTGGCGAGTTGTTGTTGAGCAGTTTTGATTTGGTCTCCTAAGCGGCGCCACGCAGGTAGTGGCCAGCATGGACGGTGTTGTTTGCCCCTTCCTCACCTTGGACGCTGGAGCGTGTTGTTGCTCCTTCCTGCTGTGCTTGCGATTCGACGTCCACAAATCTGGCAGGAACGAAAGCCAAGCACAGAAAAGATGCAAGATGCGTCGTTCTCCGTACGTCTTTCCCTCCTCAAACAGGTGCGGAGTCTTTAAATGAAACTGCATTGCATTCCAGCAGATCGAGAAAGTGCGACAGGGGTGTCGCTCTTGCCTCGCACCATCAATCAAACGCCCCTGCGTCCCTTCCTTTTGCGCGCGTACTACTTTCGCAATATGGGTCCCTCAATACACAGTATTTGCAGGAAGGAGCGTGCAGAGCCGCCTTCCCCATACAGAATACATGCAGTCAATACGGGGGGAGCAGGAAGACAACAAGAGCATCCAATCAACAAAACCTCAACAAATCCTACTGAGTACTTCCACCCAGTCCTCTCACCAACCGAAAAGCCAGGGGTCGTCTACCGCTGTAGCCCGTCTAGGCATAGTGGCCAAGGCCGCACCCGCACCCCCTTCGTCTTCGCCCTTCACACGCGCCTCGTGTACTGGTCCAAGTCAATTAATGGGAATAGACCAGGGGTGAACAGCTCCCGGTGGAGACTGGCAGTGAGGTGAGAGATGGAGGAAGGCCTTGAGATGTACGAAGTAGGCCATTGCTGGGTTGCATGACAGCTGCAACCTCTTCGAGGTCAAAACACGGCTCAATGGCTGATGCAGATTCAGCAGCAGAGCACCACCACCCGCAACCACCAACGGACTTGCATCGACCCCAATCCGGCCTGCTCTGTTCACCCGACTATGCCATAGGCGCCAACGTCTGCTTTTGGTCGTCCTGCTCTGGCTTCCTGCTTTCCTTTGGTACGACCGTGTCCAGTCAATCCACGGGCGGGTAGCAATGCTGTGGTCCCCAGGCTCGTTCTCGGTAAGTGCTGACAGGGTCTTATGTCTCTCCTCCTTTGACCGCTTGCTTTCACCTCCAGTACGCTGGCCGTTGTCCCCAATAAACCACTCATACTACTCAGTTTGTTGTGCTGTCATACATGATTGTTGTCTAACATTGATCATAGGAAGGCCCTGTCTCTTCGGTCCTCGCATCTCATCACCTGCAACTTTTTTTTTTGTCATTCTTTGCCTCGTACCCTCCGCTTTGTCTGTGGACTCCATCTTGGCATATGTTGATACGACATAATTGCACGCCCCTCCGTCTGCTTGCTTCCTCTCCACTTCGACTTCAGCCACCAGTCGTGATCGACGGCGAGCCTGTTTCCTTGTTCTTCAGATCTGTTTTCTTTTCTCGCCTCACTCCCCTCCTTTGCTACCCTCTCTCTCCTCTTCTTCCTTTGTTCTTTTCTGCGTTCCCCCGTACCAAAGGGCTCTTCGAACAGCTCATCACCTTGACGGGTGTTGAGCAAGGAAGTCTCGACTTCGACAAACCGGGCCCCTTTCCCGACATTTCTTCTCCTAGATGCTCTCCTCGCCTCCTTTTCTTCTCCTTGTTACTTGGATTTTCGTCTCATAGTTGCTTGCCCGGGATCGGTGCTTGTCTCTCCGCGTCACGACTTTTTTGTCCTCGTATTTTACGTCTACACCATCGACGCCTGAATTCAAGTGTCTTTTCTTGCCCATTGAGCCTGCTTTATATAGAGGACACTCCCAACTTTTCCTTCCATCCGGTCCTCCGTCAATCTTTGCTCTTGATCCTAACCAGCATCAATATTCCTGCATTGAAGCATATATAGCCTCCAGAAACGATCTACATACGTCCCCCGTTCTAGCATCGGCCACCTTCTCTTTTCGTGCCTCTCGCCACTCAATGCCAGCTTCTACTTGACATTTTTCCGGCCTCAACACGCTTCTCCAGTTCCTCTCGACCTGCCGCCTCTCCACTGCCAGCTATTTACATGAAGCCGCCTATTGCATCCACTGCTTGTGTAGCGGCTGCGCAGGTATAGAGCATAGCTCTGTATGCTGCCCTGCGGTTCGGTTTGACGGCATGGGAGTTTCAATCGCCTGCATTGTCCACCTGAGCCGTCGTTCTTGTCCAGAACCCACTACCGGACGGGAGAACCAACATTTGTGACCATACCCTCTCATCCTCCTCTGTTCCGGCTGTTTGCGCCTCGTGCGCCGCTTCTCCCTCGAACCTCGCCTCTCATGCCTTGTGATCGTCTAGCCGTCTTTCAATCTCAAGGGTTCCCGTTTCTGCTTTCTTCCTTTTGAAGCCGAGATGGGGAACCAGCCATCATCCGAGGCCTATGGGGAGCCTCTTTCTGTCCCGCCGCCGCCGCATGAAGACCGTCCTCTTCCACCACTCCCTCCTCTCTCAAACCACGCCTCTCGCACCTCGCACATCGCTCATTACTCCCACGCCTCCGCCTCTACCTCATTATCTGCGTCTGCTGCTGCTCTCTCTGCCTCTGCTGCTCCTTCTGACTCTGCTCAAAGGTTGTCCAAACCCCGGGTCCGTTCGACAGCTGCCCTGTTAAAGAGCTCGGATGTTGCTGCAAAGGGTCCAGGCTCTGGCTTGAGACGCTTGTCAACCGCTGGAATAGCTCATCTCGTCACCTCATCCTTCTCCTCTCCCAATACGACCACATCGTCATCCTTCGCCACCCGTCGCCGCTCTTCCTCTAAATCGCGGCCACTCCCTCTCCCACCACCCTCTCTCCTCCCACCGTCACCAGGAGCGCAGAGTCCGACCGTCTTCACGTTCGAAGAAGCCGTCGCCGCTGCCTCTAATCAGCGGGGCTCTTTTGCTTGGCACCCACCGGTTTCATCAGTCTACCCTTCTCCCAGCCTTGATCTCGAGCTCCTCCAAGAACAACAAGCCCTCCAGCTCGCGTTTGAGTTCCGTCAACAGCAGAACCTGCTTGAGTTCCACCAGTGGCAGCGGGAAACGAAGAAGCTACTGCGAGAGCGTGAGCGGCGGCGCTACACCAGCTACGAGTTTGGATTTTATGACCAAGCCGTCACCGACACTGAGCTCGACGACGAAGACGACGAATTCCTTGAAAGGGGGCGCCAGCAGCTACAACAACTGAAGCAGAAGCAAAAGCAAAAGGAACGGCCAAGGCGGTCTTCCGTTTCTTCCTTCTTTCGGTCACGGTCCTCGCAACGGTCTAGCCTGGACCTAAATCGACCGGACGACCGTGACTACCGTGATTTTCGTGACTACCAACGGCGAAACAGCATCGGTTCGGTGTACCGCGGCACTGGCGACCGAACTGCGTGGGATATCGGCTCCATGACGCACGACCAAGTCTTAGGCCAGTACTATGGTGCATCGCTTTCCGAGAAGTGCGTGACTGCTCCCTCTCTCCCTCCCACTTTGTTTTCCCCTCTAACATGCACCCAGTTGGCCACCACAGGCCGGTTCTCGCACCTCTTGGAACTACGACATGTCGTCATATGCGGCCAAGCGACTGCTCCATATGGTCGACGACAACCCCATGGATAACAGGCTCGAGCAAGCGTCAGTAGCATCAGAGAGTAGGTACTCCATGGTGTCTGAAGTGACTTGGAAGAGCTCCCACCCTGTCCGCTCCGAAAGCCCAACCCTCGCCAGGGCCAACTCGGATCTTTCCCTCTACGCCCCTGTCCGGAGAACATCGATCGTTCAGATCCCTGGCGTGGCCACACGTAGAAACAGTACGAGCAGCTTTACGAGCGTTGGTGGTGCATCGATGCGACCTGTGTTCCGCCACAGCCATCCTGCCACAACCCCAAGTCTTTCCCGACGTACATCGTTCGAGTCAACCGGTAGTCGCATCATGTCGATGCCGCCACCAGAGCTTCAAAGACTTGAACTGAGTGCCGACAACACCGCTAGATCAACGGCCCGTGTATCAACACCTCCCGATGGCGAGTACAACACCATTGGAACTTTCAAACTGGGCTCGTTACGTATTACGAACGGAGCTGAGAGCCCTACGTCTTCGCCCGAAACAAAAAGGGCGCGGAGAGAAAAGGAACAGGCGGCCCAAGACGAGGCGTCGGCACGCAACCAGGCCCACGCCGCAGCGGAGCGAACACGAGCCTTGGCTGCTCTATCGGCGAATAGTGACACAAATTCCAATGCCGTCATCACCGTTACAAACGAATCGTCGGCAGCCGAGAAAAGCGATGGCGGTCGCAAAATTAGTCCCCTCTCGCCGGCCCTCTTCCAACCCCCCGCTGAGCTCTTTGCCGGAAACGTGCCAAAACCTGTCGTCATTCACGAGCTGCCCGCTCGCGAGCCTGTCGTCTCTCCTACTGAGCTTCCCCAAATTGAGGTCTTGCAAGACATCTTTGCCGATTTCGAATTCAGCTCGTTTTCGTTTGAAGACACGGTTCCTGTCACCTCGGTTGAACCGCCGTCCGAGCTGCCAACTCTCGTACAAGCAACGCTGCAAACAACATCCAAAGCAACCGCCCAGGACGATCTGCTCTTCGATGAAGATGATCACAGCACCTCTGGCTACGCCGATGCAGAGGTTCTCGATGTCCGTCTCGATCCGAATGCAAAGGCTTCGACCAGCCGTGGCAAGTCTGAGGCTGTGATAGCTCGGAAGAGCGCCCACAGTATGCAGAGCGTCAGCCGATCCGACAGTGGCTTTGTTTCGAGCCCAACATCCGAGTCATCTCGCAAGCCGCTCAGCAAAGCCGACTCTGGCTACAGCTCCAACGTATCTCTGCGGTCGTTCAAGCAGGCTGCGGCAAAGCTTATCAATTCTGGTTCCAAGGCGGTCAACCGACTCTCTGCTGATAAAGATGCGAACGCACAAGGTGCCGAGAGGCAGTCATTCATCATTGACGAGCTGCAACTTCCAAGCCCCACCATTAACAGCCCTGATATGGAATTCCGGTCAATGTCTCCGGCCACCAATATGCAGATCAAGAGGAAACCAGTCCCGGTAAGCGAGGCCCCGCCTCCGCCACCGCAAAGGGATGCTCCTCTACCTCCAGCTCCGCTGCCAAAGCCACAGACTATGTCTCCAGATAATATGTCTAGAGATGCGCTTCCTCTCTCGCCTAACAGCATTTCGTTGACCGGCACCTCAACTCCTGCGACGTCAGAGTCGTCTGTCCCCGGTCTACAATGCAGCGCTCCGGCGATGAGCAAAAAACACCACGCGGCACCATTGCCACTCGACAACATCCCGCCCGTGCCTCGTTCCGGCAGCCAAGCGTCGCCCGCAAGAAGCCCAGTTCTCTTGACACCTGCCAGCGTTAAATCAGACGGCTCGATATCGGCTCACAGCATTGGCAGTGGCCCTCAACGACCTAGCAAGCTTCTTCGGTTCCTCAGCTTCGCTAACGTCTCGCGCAACGGCTCCCCTGCCAACAAAGGTCCTCCGTCTGTGCATGTGACACACATTGAAGAGGACGACGCAGCCAATATTCCTTCCGTTCCAAGCAATGTCAACGACAACTTGCGTGAGCACACGGGCCTGTTTCCCATGACCACCAAACGACTAGCTTTGAAGACACAGATGAGCAGGGATACACTCAAGACCATCTTCAGTGTTGGCAGCCTCGAGACACGGAGCAGCAGTGACCTTTTTTCCAAGGCGAAGGATAGCATGCCAAGCGACCCACCCGTCCCATCAAATCGCCGGAATACATTCCAGGGCCCGTCCTCGCTCGTTTCTGCGGCGGCTGCTGCCGTCAATCCTCTGAAGGCCGTCACTAAACGCAGATCCCGCCTTTCCATGAGAGTGGACTTTACCGACGAGTTCGAAGAAGCGAGTCATGCCGAGGAAGCTCAGGAGCACCGAGACCGCTCTTCCACCACGGCCACCCCCGAGCCATTGCAGGAAAGCAAAGTTAAAACAAGCCGGCGATCTTGGCTTCGCTGGAGCAGAGAAGGGGACCGACAGACGCCTAGTCCGGGAAAACCCTCGGATGACGATGCTTCCGACCAGGCCGCTGGTCAAGAACAAGGAACCAATATAACCGACGAGTCTGCGTTTGGAGCAGGTCGCCTCCGCCGCACAGAGTCTCGATCTTCGTCGATCATTAGCAGGACCATGAGCCTTACTTCGCAGCTCGAGCGTTCTCTCAGCTTAAAGATCACGTTCCCCAAAATCTCGATGTCGCGCCCTTCGACGTCCGACCGCCCGGCTATACCGATTTCTGCTTTTTCTACTGCGTTCAATAACAGCCAGGCGCCGTCTCCGAGTCTTCCAAGCCCACTATTTGCAGGAGTCATGGAACAGCAACGGCGGGCTATGCCACAAGATGCCTTTGCAGCCGCCTCGCCACCTGTGAGTGCCCGGATGCAACAAATCCGCCCGACTGTGCTTCGAGTCCCCCCTCCTCTACGTCCGCAGTCTGCATCACCAAGTGAAGCAGGATGTCGCCGCCCGTCGCGCCAGAGCAGCCAAGACAGTCTTTACAACTCGGCGTCCGCCCAGTATTACCGGGTGGCCAGCCTCGCATCTGCTACGGACTACAATGATACCAGCCACATTACCGGTACCATTGTTGCATCGCCACCGCCGCTCGATTCGCCATCGCACTCGCACTCAAACTATCCCAACCTAGAGGCTCAATTCGGCCAAGACTATAGTAATGGTGTGGACCGACACCGCCGTGGTTCCCTAGACAGCTTACCTCACGCACATCGGTCTGTTTCTCTTTCCGGAAACGACACGCATATGGCGTTTGTGGCAGCTGGAGGGGACATGTTCAATCGGCACAGACGGAGTGACAGCCAGGACAGTGAGCCGCGTGTCATCCGACATCGCGCAAGCTTTAACGGGTATAGCCTTGGCCCCAGCCAGTCCTGGAACGGGGACAGCTACTCAATATCCCAATCAAACCGGCCTAAGCGGAACCCTCCGCAGATGTCAAACGGCTACACAGGCCAAGTGATGGACCCATTTGGTGGCGGCCATCGGCGGAGCGGCAGCGCAAGCAGCGGACCTGTCGATTTCTACAAGATTCAACAGCAACAAGCCTGGGATTATTACTACCAGCAGTATGCACGACCTCCTCCTAATGTCGTACGAGGTTCGCATCATCGCAACAGGAGCATGGGCTCTCGCCATGGCCCAGTTTCCGGTCCTCAAGCGCCCTATCGAATTCTCCACAGCTACAACTCGCCAGCATACCGTGGTGTGCCTATTTGGGGATAAGCAACAATCATGTCTGCTTTTCATTCTCTCTTTTCTTGTCCTCATTTTCTTAAATTTGTTTCCGATTCAGTCTTTTCCGTGGTCGATCGCACTTTACCCATTTACCCATTTTATTCCTACGTTTTGATACCCTTCGACTGTGGCTTGCACCAAAACACCTCGAACAGCTCCTTCTTCAACGAATGCGCTGTTGACTCTTTTAGTCTGTGCAGGAGCTAAACGGTTTTCAGCATCATACCATTACTTTCTTTGATAGTTCGAAAGACACTCAAATTGTCCGTCTTTTCGGATCTCGCGCTTTTTCTTTTGTCACTCGTTACCCACCTATTACGAACGAATACGGCCGGGTTGTATTTTTATCGGTGTCTATGGTTGCACTCCGTTGCAAAGAACGGAAAGTTGGTGCGGCTTCTCGTACACGCTCATTACTTTGGCGCCCCCGTTTTTGAATTTTTCTTTTTGTTGGCCCTGTTTTGGATCTCTCAAGATTGCTTTATTTACTTTTGCGGGATAGATTTTGGAACGGATTCGATTGCCTTTTTATATTTTGGATATAATAGCATATAGCGAACAAAGGTTGCACATGGATGGGAGAATTTGAAATTATTGGAATAAAGCACACCAATTTGACAGACACAAACATACCACGTCGACTTCAAAAACAACAAGCCTATTTGAACACTACGATCCTTTGGGCCAAAGTATGTCAACTACGTTCGATGTACATTGCTTCTTGTCTCGCCCTGTCAACATTATTAGTGATTATTGACTAGCTTGTCTTAGCTAATTTGTTGCTCGTTAAGGTTTAAAACGCAAAATGGATCCTGCCCTCCGCCCCCCATCCTCCAACAACACGAGGCAGAAGATTACAATAACGACCGACCGACCGACAGACCGACCAACAAGGTAGCTGCTGACCACACGGTTCCTCTGATTGTATGCCACCGCAAAGCACAACGTTGAATTCGCTCAAATGACCACGGAGATGTGGTCATCCATGTACATGCCAATGTCGTCCATGAACAGACTGGCAATCATGGAGATGACGCCGAAGCCGATGCTGATATAATACACGAACGGGTAGGCACCGGCGTACGCCTGCTGGCCGGCGGTTATGATTGAGTGATATAAGGCCGAATCGGGCCCGCCGATGCCCTCGAGACCGGCAATGACTTCCGTCTGGGACGTGGCCGTCAGCATAATGACCTGGCTAATCAAGGCCGTCACGTTGGTGACGCCCGTGGAGCCCGTCGGCGACGCGGCTGCGGCGCTCTGCACGCCCTGGAGGACAGTGCCAATCAGCTCGGACTCGAGGCGCGGTACCAGCTCGTGCAAGAAGACGTTGTAGTAGACGCAGTAGCCGACGGCGCCGCCCACGACGCGGACAGCCAAGGTGATGGCCGTGGCCGTGGCAATCAGGTCCTCGGGGCAGATAACCATGGCGACGAGTGATGCGGGAACGACGATGCCGCCGACACCGAGACCGGCAAGGACCAAGATGACATAGACGGCGGCAAGGTTGTCGAGCGTGGCGGCGGCCAGCGAGCCGCAGCCGGCCGTCATGACAACGCTGGCGCCAAAGAGCAGCCAGCGGTTGCCGCCGCGCCAGCGGGTCAGGATGGCGAGCGAGATGATGCAGCCGATGAGGACAGACAGGGCAAAGGGCAGGCCGCGCAGGCCGACGCCGACGGGATCGTGGCCGTACATGTTGTAGGCCTGCGAGGGCCACAGCATGAGGACGGAGAAGAAGTTGGCGCCGGACACAAAGGTGATGACGAGGGCCAGCCACATGGTGCGTGTGCGGGGCGGTGGGCCGGTGGCACCTTCGTGGTGAGGGCCGACGAGGCGGCGTGGCACCATGGGGTAGGGCGCGAAGCGGGACTGCCAAAAGGCAAAGGCAACCAGCAGCGCAACGCCAATAATCAGGGGTGCCAAGACGTGGGCGCTCGACCAGGCATACTGGTAGCCGCCCCAGAGCAGGCCGGCGACCAAAAGGACAATGCCGCCAATGGATAAGACGCCGCCGACGACGTCGATGCGCGGCAGAATCTCACTGCGCCAGGAGTGGAAGCCGGCGCTGTTGGCACGGGGCGGTGGGTGGTAGAAGACGGCGAGGACGAGCAGGCCGGCAAAGGAGTAGACGGCGGTCAGGACACCGACAAAGCGCCAGCCGGCGTCAGTGGCGATGAGATTGGCCCAGAGGACGGCCGGGCAAAAGGGCAGGATGGTGAGGATGAGGAAGCCAATGTACTTGCCGCGCTGGCTGGTGGGCGCGATTTCGGCGGTGCCGGCCAGGGCGGTCAGCTCGTTAATGCCGGCGCCGACGCCCGAGACGGCCATACCGGCTGTTTTGGTCAGTCCGGGGCAATGAAATGTGTAACACAACACAAAACGGGAGGAAGGAGTGAGGACCAACCAATAAACGAGTTCATGTTGTGGGCAAAGGCGCAGACGAGCTGGCCGACGACGACAAGGCCGCAGCCGAGCAAGGCGACATAGCGACGGCCCATGAGGTCGGACAGGGCACCGACAAAGGGGCAGACGGCGGCCGAGGCCAGCAAGTTGGCCGTGATGAGCCAAATCCAGCGGTCGACGCCGCCAAGATCGCCATAGACAATGGGCGGGATGCCGCCCCAGAAGTAGACGGGAATCTGGGCGCTTGTCCACAGAAACGCCATGCCCACGAGGGCCATAAACCGAGCGCTGTTCATCGGTTGGGAAGTTAGCGTTGTGCTACGGCACGGAGTGGAAAATACACAACATACTGGCGCCTTGGCTTCTTGCCGGCGTGCTCCTGTTTGGTCGCCGTCGGCCTCCACCTCCATGGGCTCAATATTCTGCATGCGGCTTGACTCGTCCGTCTCGTAGACGGTGACTGTGTTTTCTTTTTCGTTCTGGCTCTGTTTCTGGCCCTGGCTCTGTTTCGGTTGCTGGCTGTGGACAGCTTGGTCTGTAGCTGCCGAGGTCGAGGACGTCGAGGCAGCGGCTGTGATCATGGTTGTGGTCGAGGCCGATGGAGATGTGGAGCAGATGGCTTCGTCGTCGGTTGACGGCAAGCGCACCGATTCTTTTCCGTGGAAACTCGACATGTTTTGAATTAGAGCGAGGGGAGAGAGGGAAAGAAAAGAAAATCAAGGAAATAAGAAGAAAATATGAACAGGGGGGGACAAAGGAAAGATGTTGGTGTCCTCTCTTATGATTCTTGAAAGTAAATAAGAAAAAGATGGAGAAGATGAAATGGGGGCAAAGATGAAGAGAAAGAAACAAGGAAACAGAAAGACAAGGTAAAAGACAACAAGTTAAACAGGCGTACCAGGGGAACGATGAAAAACGCTGCAGAGAAACGAGAATTATAGGTACTGCACCAGGAGAGTCAATCAGGAGAGCCGAAGAAAGGGGAAAGAGACATAAAGAGTGGAGGGTGCGACGACAAAAGGAAATAACCAAGACGAGATAGGAGACCAACAACAGGAAAGATACAGGCACAAGGTGGAACAACAGAATGGCAGACGGAGTTAACGGGACGTGGAGGCACCATCAACATGGCATACATAGGATGCATACATGCCGAGAGTTCTGGCCTGCATCTGCAGTATATTCAGGTGAACCGCGACGGATGTCTCTACAGGGTGGCCCACGCTCTTCTTGGCTCTTATTGATCAACTGCTTCGACATCCAAGAAAACCTGTGATCCTTGACAGTCGTCGACCGCATGTGGCGCCGCCTCTCCTTCTTGTCCTATTCATTAAAATAGGGACTGGATGCAGCGGAGGGAGTTGAGGCGATACGTTATAGCCGTCTTTTTTTGTTGGTCTGGAAACATTCCTCACGTTTGGTGTCTCTTTTCCCTTCCACTCCTCTCTTGGCTGTATTGCTTGGCTCTTGTCTGTACCACGCAATGGTGAAAATTTGTGTGCACCCTCTGTCTCTTGCTGCCTTTGTGCCACGCCAGGGTTCGCTTGCCACCATCCCGAGATCTGTATGTGTGTGCAGGGGCAGAGAAAGGAAAGGAGAGATTGCCTACGAGGGATATGTGCCCTGCTCGACCAGGAACATTGTTGCGGAAATAAAGGGCCAGGGAGGCAAGACGAAAATCACAGGCGAATATATGGGTTGCAGGGCAGTGCATGGTAGCACAGACGGGAAATGGTCTGGTCGTACAAGCCGTTGTGCAGTTTCCGAGTTTTTTTTTTCCTTTTTTTTTTAGATCCTCGATCATTTTCAAGTCCAGGTACCAGTTGAGCCGAAATCTTCATGTTTGGCTCTCCTTCATAATTTCATAATTAGTTGAATTGCTTCACTACGACGTGCATCGTACTGTATCAATAGTATTGCTGTTTGTAAACAAAGCAGACATCTCATGCAATCGACAAGCACGTGTGCGGCCATAAGACGACTCGGCCAGCCGCATCCGCCCTCATCCCAAAAGAGGGGCAGTGATACTCCATATTTCGCACCCGTTTCACTCTCTGCTCGGCTAAGACACGAAATGGCACAACGAGAAGAAAAGAGGACGAGGACGGGTTTTCTGCAGTCGAGACAAGACGCAGAAGAGACAAGTGGGAGCACATCAAAACGAGTCCTCGGCCGTGAGGGAAGATTTGAGGTAACGGTGTACAAGAAGAGGAGGATACGGTTAATCAAGACGAGGTTGGAGCACAGAAGGGTGGAGGAAGAAGATATGAGAGGATAGACTATAAACGATACGAACAAAGAGAGAAAGAGAGAGGGAACGAGGAGGAGAATAGGAACAAAACAAAAATGAATAGGCCCAAGACGAGAATACACCCTACCACAGTTACTGCCAGTAACTTGCCCTTATCTGCCTTGCTTTTTTTTTCCTCTGCCCGTACACTGCTCTTTAATGAGTGTGGTAGTACACATACAACCTGATACAAGCCTTTATCGTCCGCCAACGTCGCACGAAGCGAGTATGGGAGAAAGGGCAGTTTGTTCATTGGCAAGCTGCAGGTCCGGCAAAAAAAGGAGAAAATGAAAAAGGGGCAACCCAGACGAAAAACAAAAAAGAATAGAGAAAAGTATAGGCGTGTGCCAAGTTAAGACGGAGGACACGAGAAAGGGGGACAGCACAGCATGCGGAGGGAAAACCCGAGTTGGAGGCGCCAAACAGGGGCGAGGAGCAAACAAACACGATAGACAGGATGGACACATGGGCGCACCGAGTTGAGGCCGTGATAGGCTGGTCTCACTTGCGCTACAAATTCAGATACAACCCGAGCTGGAGGCACTGCAAACACGGGATCACAGGCAAGTCATCGAGACTGTCAACGTGAGACAGGACGAGGAGAAGCAAACGAGACTGGCAGAGAGCCATGAGAACAAGAATGTAAAAGGTAAGATTGGATAGACAAGTCCGTGTGGATAGAGGCAAAATGGCGCAGAAATCAGTCACAATTGGATCTCAGACGAAAGACACGAGTTAAACAGTTGCCACCCCCTTGGCCGGGCTGAAGATGTTCGCAACGCCGACTTATTGTCCCAAGTGGCTATGAGAAGCCAGGCCTAGTCGGGACAAAATTCATACTGTCTACAGAGAGATCCCTACATCCTTCACGTCCAGGACATGGGGAAAAACAAGGTGACGCAGAGTCACTTAATAGTCTTTGTTTAATTATCGTCTGGCTGTCATGAGGTGTTACTTTACTTGGTAATTTTATATGGTTTCTCTGTTTTTGTAATATTTTGTTCTCCCTTATGTAAAAAGGACACTCATCTATCCATTCATTTTGTTCCGATGCAGAACTGAGCAAAGCCATCATCTCGCAGACGACCCGGACGCAACTGGTGCTGTAATTTCCTCTGTTTTTTGGATGACAAGAACACAAAGACAATCAATAAATAAACGGCAATATCCATCGATGGTTTCTATTCTTACATCATCTCATGGCATTACGCTTACTTTTTCCACCCGGTGCTCTTCCTACCTAAGCCCTCGGAAGCGCCGTCTTCGCCCATCAGGGCCTGTTTCCGCCAATTGAGCGGTTCCGTGGTGCAGTTGGTTAGCGCATCGTACTAATATTTCCTGCAAAAGAAATCCAATGCGAAAGTCGAGGGTTCGAGCCCCTCCGGGACCATTTAGTTTTGTCTTTTTGCACTTTTTTCTTTCTTTCCCTTCAATGTATATAGACAATTTTACAAATATACTACCATTTGAATGGTTATGAGTCCTCAATCGTGGCCTGAAAATGGTCTCGTCTCTTGCCTCGTAACAGAGGGAGTTGATTACTCTGAACAAGGCGGTATTCGCTCCCAGAGTACCATACTCATCGCATTTGTCCTTACAGTAAACACAAAAATACAATTCATTAAGGAAACGCAAGGCGGCGTTCTCGCAGCGGCCGGCCAACGGGTATACAGTAATCGAACAGGATAACATACAGTAAACGCAAAACACGACACACTTCATACCAACACCGTCATTAACAATAGCTCCGGACACCAGCGCGGACATCAATCGGGGCGCGGCACCAAGCTTGGCTGCCATTACTCGCCGCCGTCATGGACTACCCGAAAAAGTCCTGGGCGCCGCTGCCGCCGGCCGTCTGCTGCAGCTCTTTGCCGAGCTGTTCGCGCAGCTCCTCCTCGAGCAGCAGGTCTTCCTTTTCCTGCTCGAGCGTCTGCTGCTCGAGCGACGCCTGCTCCTTCGCGGCACGGGCCGTCTGCTCGGGATGCTGCGGCTGGGCCAGCAGCTTGGCGCGCCGCGCGCTCGCAATGTAGTTGGACACGTCGCGCGCGCCGACGTTCTTGCGGTACTTGAGGCGTAAAAAGGTGACAATCTGCTTCATCTTCATGTCCATCTGCAACAGCACGTCGATGCTGTCCTTCTGGTCCGCGTCCAGCGACCGGTGCACGCGGTGCGCAAAGACGTCTTCGCTGGGCGCGTGGTTGTGCACCGAAAACTGCGCGCCCGTGCGGTGCCGCACCTGCCACAGCCCGTCGCGCCGCTCCTTGACGTACACGGAAAAGTGGCAGTCCGTCCGCCGCGACGCCGCCCGCTGGCGCTTCATGACGCGGTTTGGATCGCGCCCGCGGCCCGAGCGGTCGCACGAGTACATGGCCGTCGTCAGGCCGCCCGACGTCTGGAACGACCGCGATGTGATAAATGCGTAGCCGTGCGCAGCCGCCAACGCGTTGATCGCCTTGTACGCGTCCTCGCGCGAGTGGTACACGGCCTCGGGCGGCAGCACTTCGGGGCCGAAGCCGGGAAACCCGTCCGGGTAGACCTGCGTTGCTGCCATCGGCGGCGCCGTGGCGCTGGGGGTGTGGCCCACAAAGGAGTCGTCTGCATTCGCGCCCCCCTCTGCGTGTGTATTTGCCCCTGCCATCGGTTCTGTGGCCGTGCCGGCACTCGCATTCACTGTCGCATGGTGATTCGGCGTCGCGGGCATCGCCGCCATCGGCACCGCGGCCGCGGCGGCGGATTTGGCGGCACCGGAGCTCATTGTGGCCGCTGTCGCATGCTTTCGCGCTTTCGTGCGAACCCAGCGAGGGCTGTACGGTCCCCTGAATAAAGAGCGGGAAGACGAGAGCGAGCGTACAGAGGGGACGGTTTCAATGTCCGGCGTCGAGATGGGGACGATTGACAAAGCTACACGCCGTGCTCCGTGCTGGCGTACCATTAGAGATTCCACGCGCTGCAGGCGGTTTGATAGCCGCCAAATTGAGGTGGCGGGTATCTTGACAGATTAGTCATATATTAGGTAAGTCGTGCTCCGGGGCGGGCTTGCCCTGGCGGACCAAGGTGGGGCTTCGGCAGTACTGCAGGCGGTTCGCAACGGAAGCCGCGATCTCAGGGGTCTCTTTGTTGATCAATACGCTCTGCCTTTTCACCGCACCATACTCTCGTTTCTGCGCAGATCTCATCCAGTCAACCCGCTCCCCCCCTTTGCTTCGAGCCCCGTCCACCTCTCTTCCACCACCCTGCGACGACAATGTCCCGGTTGGCCCCCCTTGTGTTCCCCGCGGCGGGCCCGCGGCACACGGCGACGGTGATCTTTGCACACGGCCTGGGCGATTCGGGCCATGGCTGGGCCTCGGCCGTCGAGAACTGGCGCCGCCGGCAGCGCCT